GATCAAGAGTAATGAGCTTGCGGGAGAACACTTCGATTCGGAAGAAGCGGTAAAAAGTTGGCTTTGAAAGTTTTTCGATTCAAAACCAAAATCCTACCACGAAAGAGGAATCCGCAAATTGCCTGTAAAATGGGCAGAAATCGTCAATAATAATGGAAATCATTTGGAATGGATTTATGGTTTTATGTTGAATCAATTTTAGTTCAAAGTCCGGCAGTTTTCAATTCACCAACCCAATATTTTATTAAGATAGTCACTTGCAAATAATGAGCACAAAAGTTTCACGGTGAAAAGACTGTTGAGCAAATTGAGCGGGTCGTTTTTTCTTCATAACTTTGCTCAAAGTCGACGTGTTTTTAATCTGCTTTTAGATTTGGATAAAAGATAGAATTTCGCATCTATTGGCATAAAATGAAAGCCACTCCGAAATTTCCCTCGTATAAACAACGACTTTGTCCTTAGCACCATTGAATCCGACTGGTCTTATGAGATCCTTTTGTGCTTCTTCGAACCATGGCAATTCCTCTAACTCGTCCACAAAATTGGCCTTCTAAAGCTCATGCAAAACTGCAAGAAATATAATTCAAGCCGTACGTCAGTAATTTCCGACAAGTTCTGCACTATTTCCTCAGCGGTTGGTCGTAGGCTACAACGAAAGTTTGTGCATCTAAAAAGCCCGGACAATTGTTTTTCCAAGAAAGAAGTTTAACCTGTCAACAAGTTGTTGCAGTTTGAGTGGACATTCTGGTGAAGCCAATCGAGTGAGTCGTTTCGTGACAAAAATATCGGTCAGCAGATGATCACGGTTGAATCCATATGGTGAATCGTATTCTTGGAAAACATGCCTAAATGCATCATTCTAGCCAGGCACGCACCAAGAAATTTTTTGAGGAAGTGTGACAACACTTTGAAAAATGGCAGCACTTTAAACTGCGAGATTGATCAACTCACCTGCGAGAAAACTAAGCTTGATAGAAATGAAGACGGCGGTGTGTCTTTACTTTTTTCAGGCTATGTTGAGTAGAGTGCGTGACTTCCAAACAAATAATTGTTTGAACAATTTTGGCCAAACAATTTTTTGTCTAAATAATGGGTCAAACAAGGCGTTCTAAATTGCACTTATCTCGGGCAAACCAGTACATACATGCCACTATGCAATTTTTTTTCATTTTTTAATTTCACTAGTCTAGAGTGTTTAAAACTTTTTCGAATGCATTGTCTAATATAGATTGAAATTTAAAGAGCTTAACTGAATATAAACTATCCGTCATGGTAAAGCATGGTAGATGTCGCAGAAACATTAAACGTTAGCGGGCAAAGACAAAGCGTTAGCGTTAGCGGGCAAGCATTTAGCTCCGGTAACATTATTCCCCTTATATTAGGGTGGTGCAAAAGAAACTGCCGATGGGTATCAGCTCTCATCTCGCGGCCAAATCCATTGCCAACGAGTTTCGATTTTTGACAATTCTGACTACCGTATTCTCTCTAATAGTAGTGCACCGTGAGCGTCGCCTAAATTCCTCGCAATCTCGAGAACCGCTTATCAGAACCCATCGATGTGGGATCGGAAAATGTAGCTGACGATGAGATCTTGTGGGGGATTTGAGTGTTGAGTTTTTGGGAAAATTTTGAAAATTTTTTTGGGAAAATAAGTGCACTACTATTAGAGAAAATACGGTAATACAGGGGGGGGGGCAAAATTACCGTTACACATAAAAAAGTCTCTGTATAAAAAGCAACTCAAAAGGTCAAAGATTTTTCTTAAAAATAACTTTTATTGTCTCATCACAATTCATAAAAACTATTCCTTTTCAAACAGATCTCCAATAGCTTTTACACAGGCATCCAAACGTCGTAGAAAAGCGTCGATCGTGGCGAAAAGGTATAGGAGATCCAGCTCTTCCCAAGCCTTTTCGAGCGCTTTTTTCAAACTAGCAACAGTTTTGTGTGGTTGATAGCGTCAACTGATAGCATTTGTGATTTGTTTTTCTTGTAGGCCTTGTAACTTGAGCTTGTTTTTGATGATTCTTCTAGGGGATGTTCGCTCTGTATCCCCATTTTTTTGTGACACTTGCCGCACCGATTAGTTTGGCGTTTTCAACAGGCGATTCCTCACATTTTTTGACATTTGCTGAAGTTTCTACCGTTCGCTTTCTTCCATACGCTTTCGCATTTGCTTGTAATTTCCGCATAATTCTTGCGGTAATTTTGGCTCACCCTGTAGCTTTGTTCTCTTGGAAAAAATAATTTTTGGCGAAAAACTCACATTCAAACCCCACAAACTAATATTATTCTTATATTGCTGACAATTGCTGACTAAAACTTTTCAGATCACTTTGACTTTGGAGAGGGAGTGACTGAGGGATATGGGATCGGATTTTGGCTTGCACTCATAGCATTTCTCCTGTCGATTGGCGTGACGATAACGATTCTTGTGCTTCTACTTGATGTGCTTAAAGCAAGACCCCTTTTGAGAGCCATGTCTGCAGAGGAACTTCTAAAGAAACAAGGCTGGTCTCTGGTTCGAACTTCCGAAATGAATCTACCTCTCGCCGTAGGGGATGCTGTCTGCGAGGCTCTTCTTCATTTGGAACAAGAAAGGAATTCGGTAAAGACATTTTAAACAAGATCATTTATAAATCATTTAATTCAATATTGTTTTAATAAGAATTTCGATGTAAAACACTCGAGTAAATCTCCGTTTTGAATTGGGAAAATCGGGAAAATCGGGAAAAAATTTTTTGACGATTTTTTTGACTGAGATAACTCAATGAAAAACGATCGTACTCTTCTGTTATGAGAGCCCAAATTATCATAAATGCAAATTTACTTTCATACTGTCGTACCTCGAGATATAAAGTCGTTAAAGTTGACCGGCTTTTGCAAGTTTTCCTTAAGAAAAAAACCACAGAAGCCGTCCAACTTTGACACCGTTTTTCTCTATGTTCTTACACATGAGTATACAAAATAAATTGTACTTTTCTATAACCAAATTTAATGAGGATCATTTTAAAACCACCCTCAAGTCGATTTGATTACTGGGAGTCGAGTTCTAGAGTAAAATAGAAAAGTTCCCAAACTCCAAGACTCGTCATGGAATTTGGAACTTCAACTTTGACACAGATTTTCTCTATGTTCTAATACATGAGTATACAAAACAAATTCTACTCTTCTCTAGCCAAATTTAATGACGACTCTTTTAAATGCATTTACGACATTTTAAATGCAATTACCCAAAACGATTTTCAGTTTTTTCTTTCGGACGAAAATTTTTACCAAATTTTTCATCAAAATTTTATTTTAGCACAATCGGCTTGAAAACATGAAGGCAGCACAACAATCAGAAGACTATTTCCCCGCCGTTCACTCGCACAAGAAAGAAAACGCTGTCGAGGCTAACGAGTGAATGAAAAGTGTCGAAATTTTGTAATACTGTGTCGTTTTTTTTGTGTATTTAATTGTCGTGGATTTTTCCTGAAATAAAGCTACGACTCTTTTGCTAACTTCTCAACTTTCGTCACTTTCGAGTGAATAGTGAAAATAGGAGCACTTTTTCTAGCTTTTCTAGCTTTTCTGACTTTTCTAGCTTTTCTAGCTTTGTTCAACTTTTTCTAGCTCCGAGAGAAAGTCTCAGAAAATGCACTCAGCTCCTCAGAAAATGTCTCGTGAAGTTACGATTTCCCCCACCCTGAAGTGCCACTTTTCTTTTCTGGCTCAGAATTTCGAAGTCAATCAAATGACGCCACTTTTGAAGCGATTTGGAGTGAGTTTTTATACCAATTTTAAGGTCACGCTTTCCGTTTCCAAGAAAATTGACGAAACTTGGCGAGATCAGGACATCGAAGAAAAACAAGAAAGGAAACAAGACGGTCAACAAAAATGTGATCGAATTAGCTCGCCTTCTCTACGACAATGGACTTCTGATGGTTAAAGAATGAGGAAATCGTTTACCTATTCATCTTGTTTTATTCTGGTTAGCCTTTCTTGAAATATTGGATTGGTGAATTGAAAACTGCCGGCTATTGTCATATGTGACAGTTTGAGCACTTTCTTCAAAAGAAACCCCTTTTGGTGCTAAAGGAAAAGTTGTAGAGAATCAAAAATCAACCTTATATTCAAATTTTCAGAACGATTCAAAAGCTGTTTTTCAAGAAATGCCAAATTTACGAATTTTCACAAAAATTGCAACAAAACTTGCATTTTAAGCGAAACTACTAAGTGTATCTTTTTGGAGATTTGACTATAAGCCTAATTTTTGATTCTCTACAACTTTTCTATTGACACCAAAATGGGTTTCTTTTGAAGAAAGTGCTCAAACTGGGACACTGGGACATCTCCAGTCCTCCATTTTTGAGTCTCACACTTGTCTCACACACTTGTACTGGGAGTTGCTGGATAGCAAGACGACCGTTAATGCAATCAAATACAGTGAACAGTTGGGAAAGGTGAATGAATCCCTGAAGAAAAATAGGCCCTCCAAGTCAAAGATCGCTCTCATCCACGACAACGCGCGCCCTCGTGTTGCAAAACTGACTCGCTCTAAAATAAATAGCCTTGTTTGGGAACTTTTGGCACATTCCCCATACAGTCCGGACCTCGCCCCTTTTGATTACTATTTATTCCGGATCATGAGTTGCGGGAGAACACTTCGATTCGGAAGAAGCAGTCAAAAGTTGGCTTTGAAAGTTTTTCGATTCAAAACCAAAATCCTACCACGAAAGAGGAATCCGCAAATTGCCTGTAAAATGGGCAGAAGTCGTCAATAATAATGGAAATCATTTGGAATGGATTGATGGCTTTATGTTGAATGAATTTTAGTTCAAAGTAAGGCAGTTTTCAATTCACCAACCCAATAGTTGTTGTTTTGTTGCGGTTGATGTTACGCTTATTTTCTATAAAATCGCCAGTAAAATCGATGGTATAATGGAAATTTTGAATCATTTTAATCATAACTATCATTTCAAAATGACGCTTCCTTAAGTTTTTATTATCAAAGGCTATTTGCAATCCGTTTTCCACCAATCGCTCACCGCCGTATTGTAGTAGTGCGTGTGGTCCTGGAAATGGGTAAATCTGAATTGTTTGATTGCTAAAATTGCAATAATCTCACCAAAAATACTCACATCGAATTGCCACATGATCTTGCTGTTCGCGCATTGACCGATCAAATCACCATAGGGGCAAATTGTGTAGTTGGCGGTAGTCATCGCATTGTCGTACCTGGGAAGGGCTTTTGGTCCACAAATTTGATATTTGATCAGGGTTTTGGTATCACAAATCTTACTCTCACAAAAAGCTGGCCTCAAAATTTCAATTCTCCTATTGATAGTATTCACTATTGTTAGTGTTCTTCATCCTTCTTTCTTCATCTTTTCAATGCCCGCTCTTGCTCACCAAATTTCGAAACGATGATGCATCAGATCGACTTCTTGTGGCGGAATGTGAGGAATTGGATCGAGGTGGTGGACCACACGGTAGGAGAAGGGAATCTGGGAAGTGGAAAGGATTGAAAAAGATTTTTGATTTGACTCACATTGGCGTCATGCCACTCCGCGTATCTCACATCGCCTGTCCTCGGCTGCCCGAATGTCATCATTTTTATCTAGAAAATTGAATTCTCCACAAATTCTCCACCCTTGACTTTTACCCACGATTCTCTCACCTTTTCCGGTTCGAAAAGCCCCTGTTTGACGAGATACGCGGCGCAAAGAGACGCCAACGATCCGCCAAGTGAATGCCCGACGATCTAGAAGATTTTTTGGAAAAGAACACGATTTTCGGTGATCCTGGAACGCACAGCACTCTTGGACATACAGTGGTCCACAAAAGTAATGCCCCATTGCCATTCAAAAGTATTTTTTGCAAAATTCCTCCTGAAAACATGTATTTAAAATGTATTTTTTTCTCTTATAAAATACTTTAGAAATTCTAGTTGTTAAATAACTGGATTTTTTTCATTGAGATCCTTCCAATCAAAAGATCGATGTGGAAGAGTGCAATGACCCCTAAAATTAGCTCCACAAAAGTAATGCCCCATTGATCGTTTTCATGATTATTCTTTTTGTTTCTCCTTCTATGAACATTAAATGTATTCTATCGTATTATTTAGATCCCTGACATGAAAAATCTTGACACCCCGAAGAAGCTTCAAATCGCTAAGGCCCGGGAAAATGGGATGCGGGAGAAGGATGTGGCCAACCTCTTCAATTGCTCGATATGGACAGTGCGCCGCATTTTTTCTCAATCAAAAGTCGGCAAAAACCTTCATCGAAGCCTCAAGAGTGGCTGACGATCAATCACAGCCACAAAAGAAGGTCAAGCCGTGACCAGAATGGCGAAAAACGATCTGAGCAAAACAGCAACCGATGGAAGCCAAATGATGAGTGATCAATTTAGCAAGATTGTTTCGCCGGAAACGATCAGCCGACGATTAATTCAGGCTGGATTATATGCAAGAAGGGCTGCCCGTAAACCTCTGATGAATTCTAAGCACCGGAAGCAGCGCCTTGATTTCGCATGGACCTACCGAAGTTGGACAATCAGTGATTGGGCGAAACTGCGATTTACCGATGAGACAAAAATCAATTTATTTCACGCAGACGGAAACCATCTTATTCGACGACCGACTGAAAAGCGATATACACTCAAGTACATTCGACCTTCGGTAAAATTCAACGGCGGAAACATAATGTGTTGGGGTGAGAGCCTTTTTAGTATTTTGTCACCTGACTGTTTTTCTTTAGGAGCGATGTCACGAACTTCAGTAGGTCCATTATTTCACGTCAACTCAACGATGAACGCTGTGGCTTACAAGAACATTATGGGGACCCAAATGCTGCCTTTTGCCACACAGACGATACCTCTTGGATGAATGCTCTGCCAGGACAACGACCCGAAACACAAGCCAAGGCTCATAATGGGAACGGTGATGACTCTTCAGAATGGTACACGAGTACGACTTCCGGGCTGGTTTGCGGCAAATCGAGTCAAATTGATCAATTCGTCTCCCTACTCACCGGATATCAATGTTATCAAGCATCTCTGGTCATTTGCCGAGTCGCGACTCAAGGGAAAGAAATTCGATTCGAAGGCTGTCTTATGGTTTCACATTCAACGTCTCTGGGCCACCATCCCCCAAAGTCTTTTGAAGAATCTCGTGGATTCCATGCCGGATCGACTCAATGAAGTAATAAAAGCAAAAGGAGGACTAACCAAGTATTGATTTTAAAAAATGGTGTTAATTCTTTACAAATGGGGCATTACTTTTGTGGAGCTAATTTTTAAGTAACTTATTGGTTTTGTTTTATAATTTAATTTGTATGTAATGTATACGGATAAATCTTATATTCTTGAAAAGTAGAGTCTTATACGTAGATAAAAATACCCCTACTCTTTTTCTGAAATGTCAATTTTGCAAGATTTCCTTACAAAACATACTGCTGGATGGCAATGGGGCATTACTTTTGTGGACCACTGTAGTTTCTGTTTGGAAAAATCGACTTTTGAAATTCAGCACAGTCGCCCCCGAAATTGTTCAAGCTCAAATTTAGCCAAAATTTGCATATCTACGTGCAATCGGTTAGAGGAAACGCCAAATTGGAACGCACTTTAGAAAATGGGCTTAAAAAGTGAGGAGGATATGATTGATGGGAATTTGGGATACGGTAACGTATCCACTGTTTAAGCTGAAAGTCGAATTCGGCAAAATTCGTCCAAATCAGCTATCGTATCCCCGAAATTGGAGTGCATTTTAGAAAAGTGCGCTCAAGAAAGCACTCACATAGACGTCGTACGTTGGGTAGACTTTTCTCAGCGTCATCACTTGCGCCTCCAAGCCAGCGCGCCACAAAAAGAAGAATCCATTGAAGAAATAGTCATAAATTAAGCCGATATTCAAAAAGTTGTCTTTTTTCCTGAAATCTGGATGTCATTCAATAGATTGGCAGTCATAGTTAGTGGAAATGAAATTTTAAAAAAAAAACATTCTCCATAAAATCTTACCAAGTGAATTTTCAGGTTTTTTTTTGAAAAATCAAAAATTTTAAATGATTTTTTGGGCTATCTGGAACGCACACTTTATGTAAAAAACTTTAAATGTAAACTTTTGGATATTTAAAAAAAAATTTTACTTTAACATTCCCAATATCTCGGCGACTGTCTCAAAGTTTCCGCTTGTGCCGCGAAAAGCGATCATTATCGCTTTTCGGCTGAGATCGAAAGCCGTATACGAATAACAGAAATCACCTGAAGAACTTTTAAAGTAATTTCAATGAAATAAAGACTTTTATTGTAGTGATCACATGCGACGAGGGTACTGTTGTAGAAATAAGTTGTGGAGAGCTGATTTCTTCAAAAAAAGGATTATCTTTTGATTAGCAATGTGAGACTTGTAATGAAAACAAACCCTGTACCAGGCTTTTTTAAAAACTCACTTCAAACATGGCTGCGGATTAGCGGAATACGTTGCCGCCAACAATGGAAGTGCCATCTTTCTTCCAAACGTGTCATCGAAGGGAAAATTCGCGTTTGGAGCTCGCGGGCAATTGTAAGAATCGTTCTAGGAAAGGAGGAAAGGATTTCGGCCAAATTTCGATTCGAAATCGATTGTAAACCTGTAGAAAGATTTCACTCTTGCAGTCAGCCTCTTTCGAGCATTTCGCGTCAACGAGACACCAACTAGAAATTTTCCCTGATTTGAAAAATGAAAAACTTTTTATTTTGTCCAATCTGGCCTTTCATTTCATCTTTCTTTTCCGAAAAAAATTCCCCATTTCCTTAATTTCCCATTTCCTCAATCACTCACCCACAACCATCAGTTGCTGCTGCACAACCCTCGCAATTCGAATAGCCACAATCACTCAAACAGCCACCGATGAGTCCGAAAATGAGGAAAAAAGGCAAATTGTGTGCCAGTATTTGAATAACAAGCGATAAAATTGTTGAAAAAGCACAGGAAATCAATCTATTTGTTCAGTTAACAATAAGTGCGAAAGTATGAGCTTTGTTATCAAAAGAATCAACAAAAACCGATTAAATTTTGCCGTGATTTTCAAAGAAGTCTTAAGGAAAAATCTTTGGGAAAAGAATAGTTTTGCAATCACTAAACTATCGGTAAACAAGCAAGTGAATGAGACCATCTTCCGAGCCATCAGTAGCCACCGTGATAATCGCACGATTCTTAAATGAGAGCATCATGAGGTTCTTCGGGAGTTTCTTTCACGCATTCCAAACCCATTCTAGATAGGTTTCCATTGGTGGAGCCGGATTTTCATTGTGAGTCTTCGTCCCATTTAGCTTGCCATATAGTTAAAGAAAAAAAGACACAATTTAAAGCAACACAAAAACCTCTGGAAACAATCACACAAGAAAACTCTCGGCAAAAAAGGAAATGACCCTTGTTACGAGAATAATTGTCAGCAAATAAAAGCAGGTTAAAGGAAAAAAAAGGTTAACAATATGAAGACTTTGGCCTACGGTGTAAAATGTGTGTAAAATGTGTGTAAAATTTTAGAAAGATTTGAAAAGAAATCAGAAGCGCTAACCGAGAGAGCAATGCAATCCATATGCAATCTCGCGTTCTCGTCGATTCTGATGTGCTTCTTGAAGGTCCATATGTGAGAAGATTGTGATTCCCGCTTCCTCATTTGCTCGATTCGACGCCCAACCTCCGAGAAAACGAAAACTGAACAAAAAGAAGTTAGTGAGAAGCTTGTGACGAATCCTTTACTAATCGTATGCTTAAATCATATCTATCAGATAGGTATTTTTTAAATGTTCTATTATTTGCTCAAAACTGTAACACCTTGGCGCATCAAGTTTCACATATCCTTTCTTCAAGCATTTCTGTTGCCACGTCCATCTTCACATCTTCACAAATTCGCTGCCACGTCCGCGAAACGCCAGCACATGTGATCAAATCGCGCGGTGTCAGATGGGCGATGATGCGATAAGCAATCTAAAACTAAACAATTAATTTCACAAGCTTTAACAAAAGACAAACCTTTTGTGCTTCATTTACAATTATAGTTAATTCAAATAAATTTAGTGCTCAAAACTTTGCGGCTAAATGTGACGAATGAAAAAAACTTCGCGCGTTCAGGTTAAATACCCGTAAATCTTCGCCGCCCGCAGCTTCAACACCCCAGCGTCTTTTCAATCCTGCTGATAAACCTAACCTTATCTACGAGATGGTGCACTAAAGGTTATTTTGTGTGTGAATGGAATAGAGCTTTCTGAAAATTGGAACCACAAAATATGGTTTTGTGGACATTCTACCGTAGGCCTTTTGATGGCGGGTTCTAAAACGTATTTAAGGAGACTTTTTGCGATAAATTTCATTCTGGTCAAGTCGTTTAGCATGTGTATGTCCCATGAATACTGTAATAGTGCCCCATCGCTCTAGTGCCCTAAGGGTAGACTAGCTTATCGATTTTATGGATAAAAACGGCATGCTAATGTTTGAACGTTCAGATCTCTGTTTCTAGAACAGCTATCAACTTATTTCATTGCTGGAAAGCTTTCATTCCTTGTAATGGCTGCGGTACCATTACAATATTTACGGTAGGTAGTAATAGTAGTATTTTGCTCAGGGGTTTTTCGTTTTGTTATTTACGGTGTTACCTCTGCTGTAATTTTTCATTTAGGGGAGATGTCGGACAAGCCGGAGAGCAGCAAGACTCAACTCGAAGAGTAAAGAGAATGACCCTAAACAGTGAAATCTTCAAATTCAGGGATATCATCGATCCATTGTTCCAGAAGGATTTCTTGTCACAGTTGCCACAGGAGGTTTGTCTTTTGTTAAAGCTTGCGGGATTAATTGTTTGTTTTTAGGTTGCATATCGCATCATCGCCTATTTGACACCGTGCGATTTGACGGTTTGTGCTGGCGTTTCGCGGACGTGGCAGCGAATTTGTGAAGATGATCGGACCTGGCGACAGAAATGTTTGGAGAAAGGATATGTGAAATTTGATGCCCCAAGGTGTGTTATAGTTTTGAACAAATAATAGAACATTTAAAAATACATATCTGATAGATTGATATTAAACTGGGTCTTACACTTCTAAGGTATAGGATGATACTGTTACTGATTCAATAATGTGATTATTCTGCAGCAAAGAAAGCTTTAAAGCGAAAGAAAACAAATGATAATGTTTGTTCCGATGAACTGGATCAGATTTAAGAATACGATTAGTAAAGGATTTGTCACAAGCTTCTCACTAGCTTCTTTTTGTTCAGTTTTCGTTTTCTCGGAGGCTGGGCGACGAAGCGAGCAAATGAGGAAGCGGGAATCCATATCTTCTCACACATGGACCTTCAAGAAGCACATCAGAATCGACGAGAACGCGAGATCGCATATGGACAGTTAGTGCCGACTTGTTGCTGAATTAAATTTTTTCGAGGTGTTATGAGCGATCCTCATGGAAGTCACTGTACTTGCGGAAGCAGCGAATCATTTCCAATTGGCGATCCCGACTGATTCAATCAAGCACTGTTCTAAGAGTTTGGACAAATGTTTTGGCTATAAAAATTGTTTTTGAGGTTCACGATCAACATCTGATGAATTATCTACAAGTTCAGTCTGGTCGTATCGTTATTGGTTACTATCATGATTGTACGTTGCGGATTTGGAATGTTGATGATGCTCAAGTTTGTTTCGTTTTACCATTATTTTACGTCCTGTTTCAGCTGGCTTTCACTCTAACTGGCCATATGGATGATGTTTTGACGTCTGAAGTGAGCGATGATGGTAAATATATTGTCAGGTTAGTTAATAGGCTCTAGCTAGTGCATTTGATAAGTGTTTCCAATGAATGCTGACAATGCCAATGCTAACAAAATTCTAGACAAAAATACTTGTGAGAACAAAGTCTATTAAAACATTTAAGTGGCTCGTCTGATCAAACCGTGCGCGTTTGGTGTGGTCAAACCGGTGTACAGCGTCATGTTTTGCAGGGTCATACGGGTACTGTTCGGTGCATGAGTCTACATGGCACAACGTGAGTAATATAATTTTTGTGCCTGAGCTAAAAGCATAATGTTTTAGTCTTGTTTCTGGATCGGTCGATGCAACGCTCCGAGTCTGGGACATTGTCGACGGGAAATGCCTTCACATTTTCACTGACCACTTGGAGGCTGTATTTCTATCAAAGTTATAGCCGAAGCAAAGTTAAATTTCAGGTTCGCTGTGTGCAATTTGATGGAATTCGGGTGGTGTCTGGTGCTGCTGATTTTGCTGTAAAGGTTTGTACTGCTTTTTTGTTCAATTTTATAATATTCTATAAGATTTGGAATGTGCAAACGGGGGAGTGTTTGCACACGCTGACGGGTCACACCGATTGGATCGATTCACTTTTGGTGGGTTGAATTGTCAATTTTTGGCTTTAATCAGGATTCTATTTTAGTTTGAGCCAGAGCGCGATCTTGTCGTCTCGAGAAGTCATGATGCAACGATTCGCGTCTGGGATATACGAGGAGGAAGTGGGTTTTATTTGTTCGCTATTCTGTTGCAATATCATTTATATTTGTTTCTTTTAGCATGCATCGCAATTCCTATCAGTCAAGAATCAGTCAATTTCTATCACATGCAACTTCGCAGAAACAGTTTGGTCGCCTGCTATACCTGCTCGGACGTTGGGGTACGTTTAATCAATCTTATGACAACTACTTCGTTTGCTTTAGGTTTGGGACATTCGTGACGGTGGTTCGTGCATTCACCATTTACATTTACAAGGCGTAAATGGTCACGCGTTGAACATCACTTCATTGCAACTGCTCGACTCGGGACTTTTGGTGACAAGTTCTAACGATGGCTCGGTCAAGCTGTGGGATGTGGATAAAGGTAAGTAGTTCTAAATTACCTAGTAATGTAGGCTATAAGATACGCAAATTTGTCCAGACATCAAATTTTCTTCTAAAGTAGAATTTATTAACTACATAGCTTGGCTCGTTAACCATTCAAGCTTAAATTTATGTTCAGGGTTAGTATACTGTTGTTAATTTTTTTTAGCAACTATACGAGAATTTTTGTGATTTTCAGGTATCTTTGTTCGTGACCTCGTTCGTCTTCAGGCTGGCAGTTGCATTCGGCGTCTCTTCGCGACCGAAACATCTCTTTTATGTGTAATGTCATCGGTACAGAGAAACGGAACCGAGGAGAGAAAGCTGATCTTGATCGATTTTGATGCAGCGTATCCATAGGTATATTCGTGTTTTTGCTCTTTCTCCTTAGGCCTTATTGTGATTTTCCGAAGATTTCTTTCGATTTTTCAATTCTGCTGAAATTTCATTGCCCTCTCGGTTAGCGTTTGTGATTTCCTTTCAAATGTTTCCAACATTTTACACACCTTCTTGTATGCCAAAGTCTTCATATTGTTAACCTGCTTTTATTTGCTGACAATTCTCGTAACAAGGGTCACTTTTTTTGTCGAGAATTTTCTTGTGTGATTGTTTCCAAAGGTGTTTGTGTTGCTTTAAATTATGTCTTTTTTTCGTTAACTATATGGCAAGATAAATGGCTTAAATTGCTCACAAATAAAAGGAAACAGGCTAGATTTTTAAACTTTTTTTATCCTCCAGTGCCCTACGGGTAGACTAGCTTATCGATTTTATGGATACAAACGGCATGCTAATGTTTGAACGTTCAGATCCCTGTTTCTAGAAAAGCTCTCAATTTGAGAATTGTTTCATTTGGAAGCCAGGAATGTCAGCTTTTGATTGCTATTTTCTACATGGCGACTTTTAATGACTAGGCACCTCATAAACCTTATCGATACTTCTCGATATTTGTGTATTGATAAGCCCTCTGAGATTGCTCTATTGGTTAGCGCTTGTGATTTCGTTTCAAATGTTTCCCACATTTTACACACTTTCTTGTATGCCAAAGTCTTCATAGTGTTAGCCTTTTTTTTCCTTTAACCTGCCTTTATTTGCTGACATTTATTCTCGTGTCAAGGGTCATTTCCTTTTTTTGTCCAGAGTTTTCTTGTGTGATTGTTTCCAGAGGTGTTTGTGTTGCTTTAAATTGTTTCTTTTTTTTCGGTAACTCTATGGCAAGATAAATGGCTTAAACTTGTTCACAAATAAAAGGAAACAGGCTAAGCTTTTAAACTTTTTTTACAAAGAGTAAAAAGCCAAATCGGTGACACAAAAACGATTGTTTTTGAGGTTTTTATAGGTAGCTAAATGTGTTTTCTGATTGAAAACAGTGAGAACTAAAATTGTGAAGTAGAAAACTGAAAAAAAGGTTTCTTAGAAGTTGGAAAAAAGTAATTTTTTACAGTGATTTTCAAAAAAACGCGCCGTATTCGTGTATTTAAAGAGACTTTGCGATAAATTTCATTCTGGTCGATTCTTTTAGTAGGCTTATATAGCGTAAATACCCTAATAGTACCCCACGCCTCTAGTACCCTAAGGGTAGACTAGCTTATCGATTTTATCGATACAAACGACATGCTAATGTTTGAACGTTCAGATCTCTGTTTCTAGAACAGCTCTCAATTTGAGAATTGTTTCATTTGGAAGTCGGGAATATCAGCTTTTGATTGCTTTCTCGTTATTTGTATATTGATAAGCCTTTTAAGGCACACATCTATGTGAATTTGCTATGTGTGAAATAGCAATCAAAAGCTGACATTCTTGGCTTTCCAAGGAAATAAGTTTGTAGTTGTACGAGAAACCGAGATCTGAAGGCTCAAACATGAACTTACCGTTTGTATCGATAACCTCGTGATGCAAGTCTACCCATGGGACGGGTACTATTACAGTATTTACGGTAGCTAGTAGTAGTACTAGGGTGAACCAAAAGTTTTCGCTTTTTTTTTCTTTTGAAGTTTGAACAATTTTTTAAAGCTAATAAATTCGTTTTACAACTGTTTTGAATAAAAATCAACGGTGGCCATTTCCCCCGGATTCAACAACTCATAATACACCAAACCTTTTGTATTCCACCAACAGCAAAGCATAAGTTTCATTCCATGAATATCGGGTTAAAACTCTAATAGAACGGCCCCCCTATAGGAGCGTCGCGTAGTCTAAGTTTACTCTCAAACAAACGCTCATATCTCGACACCAGTACGTTTGTTTCTGCTCGTTTAGGTATCGAATTAAAGTAGAGAGAATGGGAAATTTTTTGAGATATAACAAATATTTTTAACAGCGGTTAGAAAAAATGATTGAAAAGTGGCAAAAAAAGAGCTGATCAGCCGATAAGCGAAGAATTATAATATAGAGATGAGCTGCATAAATTGAAGCTTTTCAAAGAGATCGCCGATCAAGTGCTTGATGCCGGATCCGAGCTTTACAAGTTCTCAGTCTGCCTAAAAACAGACACACAGTTAATTTAGGAAAAAAGTTAACGAGAAACTTGTTGAAGTTCTTTGCTGTGAATTCTTCCGTATTATTCAGTGCGTAAGTTTTTTGCTTGAGTAAGTTGAGTTTCATTGTTTTGTTATCATTATAGGATAAATTGGATGAGCGCTCTGATCTTTTCACTGCAATCGATATTCTTAAGCGTCTAAAGCTTTATGAATCCAAAGTAAAGCCGTGGCTATTCAAAGAAACTGTTGAATATTCAAACAAAATGTTTCCGAAATGTGGAATTGATTCGACTAAAGATGAAATGATAAGTTTTCAAAAGATGAAAAACTAGGAAGGGGTGTGACCCTCGATTACAGTATTTACGGTAACAATATGGAAAACTTTTGTCGACGGGGGTTTTCCCTTTATGTTCGTTCCTAGGAGTAAACGGAGATCGACTAGAATTTGGGTTAAGTCAGAGAGAGTACAACCCAACTCAACTCCTCCAACGTATTAGAGGGGAGTCCCTGTGAAATGAATGACTTGGACTGCAGTTGCATGGACCCGGAAGATTTGTATCTTTATCTACAGTAGTACGATAAGACGAATAGATTACAATTGAGTGAAAGGGGAAGGCGAGACCAAGTGACCAAGCCAAGTGAGAGCCTCACTTGTCCTCCTAGACAATCCCAAGGACCGCCTGCTTCTCGGCGATGAAAGGGATAAGCACAGGGGAGATCACATTTACATAAGAATAAACAAGTCATTCAATAATAACAATAGTAACTTAAATATCAGTTTGGCTCAGAGCTGACATTTACTATGGATTCTTAAAATTTGAAGACTCCTATCGTTTTGCTTATTGTAAAGCACAAAAACTCTATTTCTGAATTCTAATTTTTAGGCAAAAAATGTATGGAAAAACGTGAAAGAGCATCTTGAAAAAAAACGTCCATTCTTGGTATTCATAAAAAAAGACTGTAAACTTATCGTCAAGTCTAGATGCCGTCGTTCGTTGTTTCCTCAATAATTGAGACAAAAGATTTTGATAGGTCTACACACTTAGTGGATTTCGCTACCCAAATTTGATTTTCCTGTTTTTCAAAGTTGTCAAAGTTCAATACGTCAATTCAATTCAAACTTCTCTAAATAAAAGTTACATATTGTCGAATTTAAGATGTGTTTCAGCAAAATTTTCTAAACCTTTTAAAAGCCTGCTTTAAGAGAATAAAAATAGAACTTTTTATTGGTAAAAGCTGTAGATTGATTGGTGCATTAGTTATTTCTAAAAAGTCCAATGAATAAGTGTACCAAATTTTAAGTTGCCAATCTAATACAATATTAGAGATTTTTCAAAAGATAAGTCTAGGAGTTTCACAGTTTTTTTAGGCACTTCACCGAGACATTAAATTACTCACCGATGCATTGGATGATATATTTGAAGATAATAATCAAATATCCACAGTTTTGCATGATTGGTACAAAGATTTGTGGAACCGCATACTTGGTTTTATGGATGTTTTAATTCGACTCGATTCGACTCGAATGGATTCGACGGTTTTAACGGATTCGATGGTTTTCCTTTAATCTTTTCTAAACTTGCACCAACTTTTAGGAAAGGCTTAAACAAAATTGCGATATGGAAACAATTTCTTTGTGGGTGCAGAAGAATGGACGAGCTCATCTACAAAAGTATTTACCAGAAACGGAAGAAAAGAGAAACAAAAGTCGATTTATTCAGGTTGAAAAAATAGTTTAGTTTGAAGAGGGATAAAATCTAGAAATTTCTAAACTACATGGAATCTACTTGCAAACGCTTGCGTGCTGTTTTTGGAGATCAAATATGGTAACGTTCTTGTGCACAACTATACATGTAAAAAAATAACATTTTAAAGCAGCCGGATGATCAATGATGGGCAATGCAAGTCACCATTTAAGATTTTATTTGCACCCGGATATCGCTGAATTCTGGGTTAATTATCTTGATACCCAGTACGAAGCTCTTAAGGAAGAGGTTGGTCTATTGCTGAAACTGCATTAAGAAAAGCAGTCTTTTGTTTAGATTAAACAAGGGGAAAACGAAACAAACAACCTGAAAGCATGGGAACCTGGAAAAATTGTCGAAAATGTCGCTGTATCAAGCAAGATCTTAACTTTGCTCTGCTACTGTAGTGACAGAGTTTCCTTTGAACTGTGGGCGATAACATAAGTAACGAGCTATATAACCTTCCAATCTTAGTTTTTATCGAGAAAAATTTGCAAGAAACCTTCTCAATAATGAGCCTCAAGTTTGCGAAGTTGATCAACAAGTGGTAAACGAAATGTTTCAAACGACAAAAGCATTCCTTTTCCAGCAAATCGCGTTGAAACTTCGCTTTGGTTCTTCTTTTATTCAAAATCTTCGTCAAATGCAAACCGACCAAGAACAATTTGCTGTTCATGAAAAAGAATTTCAAACTTATTTAAACAAGGAAAATCACGTGAGGCATTTTCATTTTCATTTTCAATTTAAAAAATTTTAGCGTTTGTCAATCGACTTTCATGTAATAGTTGCTGCCTCCCACATTTGGCGTATTCAATCCGAAACATTTACTCGAGCCCTTCCGTCTGCTGCAACAACGGCGCTAGATTTTTTTACGCAGTATTATAAAAGGTATTATACATAGTTAGTAGTTTTCTTTAAATTACAAATTGATCAGAAAGCACAACAATCGAAAGTTGCGTTTAAACACATTGCATGGAAAAGCAGAAATTGTCGCAAATTTTAATTGCGATTCGACAGTTTCCCTGACTGCAATTCCACCAGTTTGCTTATGCGTAAACACTCATCAAATGATTGTTTTGATGCTCTTCAACGAAAAAGTTTGTTCTAAAGTTATTAAACAAACGATTTTTTTAAGGAAACCTGGACATTTCGTGAACTCGTAAAACGGACAGATTTTTCGCTTCCTGAATTGGAGAGAACAGTCAGCCCAATGCTTTTTGGAGATGAATGCCACAGAGTTTTGCAAAGCTCGGGAACCGCTGGAAAGAATGGTGGAAAGACCGATGAAAAAAAAGAAGTGTTTTATAAAAATTTCTCACAAAAACTTTAGAACTCGATGACAAACTCATTGTGAACGATGAATTTACTTTTACGAAAGATAAAATTAAAATACCAACAGCTAAGCTTAGGGTATGGCAGTTAATCCTTACAATAAAGATACATATTTACGAGCTATACAATATTTTAGAACAACCCTGAAGATCCGAGGATTTTACAAGTGAAAAACGATAAAGAAACTGAAATAAAATGTGCAATTGTGAGGGTGATGAAGAAAGAGAAGGAGCTGGCTTACTCAGATCTTCTCAAAAAGGCTGGATTTTTGATAGTGAGTCTAGCAGGTATTCTTTGCCTATAGGTAACCGAGGAACTTTCCAACCGTTTTACATTCGATCGCAAGTCATTCAAACAACAAATTGAGCAGTTCATGGAAAAAAAATACATTGAGAGACAAGGCAAAAATTTCATTAAATACGTGGAATGAACAGTTTGAGCTTTGAAATAATTTGAACTTTCTTCCAAATATGTGCTTGTTTGTGTCTAACATTGTAACGTCTTTTGTACCGAATTTTTTATTAGATTGTCATTTATGAAATGTCCGACGCTTTTTCATGCCCGTAAATTTTCATTTCACCATACATTTCTTTTATTTCTTTTTTGATATTATATCGTAGGAAAAATAAAATCATTTTAAAATTCGAGCCACATCTGTTGTGGATCGGCTGAAAAATGTCAGCTCAAAAAACCACAAACTTTTATGACCGTAAAATTCGTGACCTGCAACAATCAGTCCGGCTCATGTCACGCCAAATGGGAATTTCTGCGTCTAGAAGCTAAAGCTAAAGCGAAGTGCGAAACCACATCGAACAGTTGACTCGTTAAAGAAAGCGCTCCTTAAAGCCTGGGACGAGCTTGATGTTGCCTACTTGCGTGTCACAGTTGACGCCTTCCGCCCACGTCTTGAAGTGTACGTCGTGCAGCCATCTCTCTAGACAAGAAAGTCACTCTCACTCATTTTTTTTCTCATCTGTAACGGGAGATGAATTGTGGGTTCTGAGTGTGAATTTTCCAAGAAAACGACAGTCGGTGAAAGAAGAAGGGCCAGAGCATAATGTTTTCATTTTCATCTCCTAATCATTGATCATGATCATTTAACAAAAACGGACAGCAGTTTCGGAAATCGGCGTAAAATTCTGCATCGGATGGGCTAAGTCTCATTTCGGTTTCGACCTTCATTTCATGATTTTCCCTGGTTAGAATTCGACCGACGCGTTTTTTAGCTAAATCCGTTTTCGAAAATCGGTGCTAAGTTGAAACAGTTCCCCAGTGAGGTCAATTACTCAATCTTTCCTTCCATGAACCACCCATGATCACTATGCAAAACGATCAAAGTATCCAAGTGAATTTAACTGGAATATTTGTGGCACTCGATCACTCAATCCCCAAATGTTCACTTGATTGTTGGCATTGGATAATGGACGAAAACGAAGAACCTCATAATGCTCTCATCTAAGAATTTTGCGATTATCACGGTGCCTACTGATGGGTCGGAAGATGGTCTCATTCACTTGCTTGTTTACCGATAGTTTAATGATTGCAAAACTATTCTTTTCCCAAAGATTTTTCCTTAAACACTTCTTTGAAAATCACGGCAAAATTTAATCGGCTTTTGTTGATTCTTTTGATAACAAAGCTCACACTTTCGCACTTATTGTTAACTGAACAAATAGATTGATTTCCTGTGCTTTCTTTCTTTCTCGTCTCCTGTCGCTAAGCGCGGTAAAAAAGATTTCCGTTGATGTTTCGAAAGAAGCGCAGCGCGACCTAATAAAAAATTCGGTACAAAACACGCTACAATGTTAGACACAAACAAGCAAATATTTGGAAGAAAGTTGAAATTATTTGAAAGCTTAAATAGCAAAGATTTCTTTAGACTAAAGCTTTTACAAGTCTTAGGTTGAGGAAAAAGTAATGTCGGTCTTTGTCACAAAAATGTTTATTGCTAAAAACATAAACAAACGCACATCAATCAATGAGATGTGAGTGTAGATTGGATGGTGAATGGGTGAAGACGAAGACTCACAATGAAAATCCTCGTTTTAAAAGAAGCATTCTAAATCACATCCGGTGCTTGAATGTATTTGGTACAACCTCGAGGTACCAGAATCGATACCAATATTGCGCAGTATTGTTGGAGATCATTCCTTCATCTTCCACTTGGCATATTTTTTGACCGCTTCAGTTGCATTGAACCCTTGTTTCCAATTATGGCGCAAAAGTACCCGAATTTCGAATTTTCCCATCTTGACTTCCCAATGAAACAATTCTCAGATTGAGAGCTGTTCTAGAAACAGAGATCTGAACGTTCAAACATTAGCATCGTTTGTATCGATAAAATCGATAAGCTAGTCTACCCGTAGGGCACTAGAGGGATGGGGTACTATTAGGGTATTTACGGTATATAAGCCTACTAAAAGAATCGACCAGAATTAAATTTATCGCAAAGTCTCTTTCAACACGAATTTCAAAAATTCAACATTCAAAATACGAATATACCTATGGATACGACGCATCAAAATCGATCAAGATGAGCTTTGTGTCCCCGGTTCGGTTTTGCAATCCAACTGCACAGACGAGCAATGTTTCGGTGGCTTTAAGACGGCAACGCCAAACGCGACCCCCAGATCTACCCGATTGCAGACGAACGAGGACACGGACGAAAATACCTAAAATTGGAGAAAAATTAACAACAGAATACTAAACCTTAACATAAATTTAAGCTTGAATCGTTAACGAGCCAAGTTATGTAGTTAATAAATTCTACTTTAGAAGAAAACTTGAAGTCTGGACAAATTTGCTTACATTACTAGGTAATTTAGAATAACTTACCTTTATCCACATCCCAAAGCTTGACCAAGCCATCGTCAGAACCTGTCACCAAAAGTCCCGAGTCAAGCCATTGCAATGAAGTGATGGTCGATGTGTGGCCATTTACGTCCTGTAAGCGATGAATGCACGAACCACCGTCACGAATGTCCCAAACCTAAAGAAAAGGAAGTAGTTGTCATACGATTGATTAAACGTACCCCAACGTCCAGGTAGGCATAGCAGGCAACCAACCTGTTTTCGCGAAGTTGCATGCCATAGAAGTACCTTTGATGACTGAGCAGAATTGCGATGCATGCTAAAAGAAACAAATATAAATGATATTGCAACAGAACCGGGAACAAATAAAACCCACTTCCTCTTCGTACATCCCAGACGCGAATCGTTGCATCAAGACTTGCAGAGGCGACCAGATCGCGCTCTGGCTCAAACTAAAACAGAATCCTGAATAAAGCCAAAAATTGACAATTCAACCCACCAAAAGTGATTCGACTGCATCGGTGTGACCCGTCAGCGTCTGCAAACACTCCCCTGTCTGTACATTCCAAACCTTAAAGAATATTATAAAATTAAACAAGGCATTACAAACCTTTACAGTACCATCAGAGGCCCCAGAGACAACCCGAATTCCACCAAATTGCTCACACCAAACCTGAAATTTAACTTTGCTTAGGCTATAACTTTGATACAAATACCATCCCCAAGTGGCCAGTCAAAATGTGAAGGCATTTCCAGTCGACAAGGTCCCAGACTCGGAGCGTTTGATCGTACGATCCAGAAACAAGACTAAAGTGATTTTAGCTAAGGCACAAAATTTAGATTACTCACGTTGTGCCATGTAGACTCATGCACCGAACAGTACTCGTATGACCCTGCAGAACATGAAGCCGTGCACCGGTTTGACCACACCAAACGCGCACCATTCCATCATTTGCGCCACTTAAATATTTTAATAGACTTCGTTCTCATAAGTATTTTTGTCTAGAAAATTGTTAGCTTCTTTGGCAACACTGATCAATTGCACTAGCTAGAGCCTATTAACTAACCTGACAATGTAGTTGCCATCGTCACTCACTTGAAACGTGCTAATATAACCCATATGGCCATTTATAGTGAAAGCCGGCTAAATTAAAGACGTACAATAATGGTAAAACGAAATAAACCTGAGCATCATCAATTTTCCAAACCCGTAACGCATCATGATTATAACGATCACGATAACCAGTAACGATACGACCAGACTGAACTTGTAGATAATGCATCGCATGTTGATCGTGACCCTCAAAAACAATTCTTATAGCCAAAACATTTGTCCAAACTTTTAGAATAGTGCTCGATTGAATCGGTCGGGATCGCCAATTCGAAATGATTCGCTGCTTTCGCAAGTACAGTGACTTCCATGACGATCGCACATAACATCTAGAAAAAACTTAATTTAGCAACAAGTTGCGTCACTAACTGTCCATATGCGATCTCGCGTTCTCGTCGATTCTGATGTGCTTCTTGAAGGCTCATATGTGAGAAGATTGTGATTCCCGCTTCCTCATTTGCTCGATTCGTCGCCCAGCCTCCGAGAAAACGAAAACTGAACAAAAAGAAGTTAGTGAGAAGCTTGTGACGAATCCTTTACTAATCGTATTCATAAATGTGATCCAGTTCATCGAAACAAACATTATGATTAGTTTTCTTTCGCTTTACATCTCTATTTGCTTTCGAATTAATAACATTATTGCCCTATACCTTAGAAGTGTAAGACCCAGTTTAATATAGATCTATCAGATATGGATTTTTAAATGTTCTATTATTTGCCCAAAACTGTAACAAACCTTGGCGCATCAAATTTCACATATCCTTTCTCCAAACATTTCTGTCGCCACGTCCGATTATCTTCACAAATCCGTTGCCACGTCCGCGAAACGCCAGCGCAAACCGTCAAATCGCTCGGTGTCAAATAGGCGATGATGCGATAAGCAACCTAAAAATAAACAATTAATCCCACAAGCTTTAACAAAAGACAAACCTCCTCTGGCAACTCTGACAAGAAATCCTTTTGGAAAAATGGCTGGATGAGATGCCTGAATTTGAAAATTTCACTGTTTAAGGTCATTCTACTTACTCTTCGAGTCGAGTCTTGCTGCTCTCCGGTTTGTCCGACATCTCCCCTAAATGAAAAATTACAGCAGAGATAACATCCTAAATAAGAAAAGGAAAAACCCTGAGCAAAATACTAATACTACTAGCTATCGTAAATATTGCAATGGTACCGCAGCCATTACAATGAGTGAAAGCTTTCCAATGAAATAAGTTGATAGCTGCTCTAGAAACAGAAATCTGAACGTTCAAACCTTAGCATGCCGTTTGTATCCATAAAATCGATACGCAAGTCTACCCTTAGAGCATGGGATGGGGCTAGAGGGATGGGGTACTATTAGAGTATTTAAGGTACATACACATGCTAAACGTCTTGACCAGAATGAATTTTCTCGCAAAAAGTCTCTTTCAATACATAAAAGGGGCGCGTTTTAGAACTCCCCATCAAGAGGCCTACGGTAGAATGTACACAAAACCATATTTTATATTTTGTGATTCCAATTTTCAGAAAGCTCGATTCCATTCACCCACAAAATAACCTTTAGTGCAGCATCTCGTAGGTAAGGTTAGGTTTATCAGCAGAATTCAAAAGACGCTGATTTTCAATTTTTCCTACGGCAAATTTAGCCGCAAAGGTTGTTTTGCGCCCCAGCACAAAAGTTTCGGCGCTAAATTTGTTTGAATTGACTATAATTGTAAACGGACAAGCACAAAAGCAGCTCAAAATAAGCTTAAAATACCTTGTTGCCATCGAAGCACTTCTGTGATGGAGACTGCCGATCGGATGATGGCCGATGACGGGGAAACGAGCGAGAAAATCGTCGTAGGTGCTGAGGCTCAACACCGGGCACACGATTGGATACATTCGTTTAAGGTAAGAGAAGATTTTACTGAGGAAATGCTTGAGTTAGGCAACGTCACTTCTTTGGAAGATCGATTGAGGCTCAGTTTAGACCTTTGGTACTTTAGCACTTCCTTAATAAATGATGATCAAAAGGTCGAATAGAGTAATAACTTTCGTTGTGAAAATCCAATGAAACTCTTCTCCCCCTCCCATGCCAATCTAAGTCATCCACTGTTTTCCGTTCAATGATAGAGCTCTAAAAGCAAAAAAAACACAAACTTATCAACGTCTCGCAAAATAAAGACTTATCAGAGTGGGGGAAGAGCGACCAGATCGATGTTATGTTATTGTTACTTCTTCAAATGGAAATGAGGCAAAAAAAAATGATTCTGATGGGAAAAAAGCAAAACGACAGGAAAATCAGACAAAAAAAAGAAAACACAAACGTTACTACATCAAAGGAAGAACTTGTCATTGTCATAGGCTTGATTGAACGTACCCCAACGTCCGAGTTGGCATAGCAGGCGACCAAAGTGTTTCCGCGAAATTGCATGCCAGAGTCCCAGGGCCTTTAATGACTGAGAAGAATTGCGATGCATGCTGAGAGAAAGAAATATAGAGGAGATTGCAACAAACTAGCGAACAACTAAAGCGAACAACTGAATGATATATTTGACGATCATAATCAAATATGCACAGCTTTTCATGATTGGCACAAAGATTTGGGGAACCGCATACCCGGTCTTATGGATTTCGATTTTCGGTTCTCCTCAACCTAATACTTGTAAAAACTTTAATCTAAAGAAATGTTTGCTGTTTGAGCTTTGAAATAATTTCAACTTTCTTCCAAATATGTGCTTGTTTGTGTCTAATGTTGTAGCGTCTTTTGTACCGAATTTTTTATTAGATTGTCATTTATGAAATGTCCGACGCTTTGCCAGGCCCGGAAATCTTCATTTCACGATACATTTCTTTTATTTCTTTTTTGATATTATATCGTAGGAGTATGAAATAAAATCATTTTAAAATTCGAGCCACATCTGTTGTGGATCCGCTGAGAAATGTCAGCTCAAAAAAGCACAAACTTTTATGGCCGTAAAATTCGTGACCTTCAACAATCAATCCGGCTCATGTCACGCCAAATGGGAATTTATGCGTCTAGAAGCTAAAGCGAAGTGCGAAACCACATCGAACAGTTGACTCGTTAAAGAAAGCGCTCCTTAAAGCATGGGACGAGCTTGATGTTGCCTACTTGCGTGTCACAGTTGACGCCTTCCGCCCACGTCTTGAAGCGCCCGTCCATGTCTCAAGACAAGAAAGTCACTCTCACTCATTTTTTTTCTCATTTTGTAGCGGGAGATGAAATGTGGGTTCTCACTGTGAATCTACTTACAATTTGTGACTTTTAGAATTTTGATTTTCGTTTTGATTTTGGGTACAACGCTTGCTCTGTTTTTGAGTGAATTTTTGAGATTTTCTGTGAAAATCTACCGTCAAACATTCTATTTTTGCGTGTTTATTTTTATTTTTTCAAAACTTTTGAAAAGTTTTTCAATTATGACTGGGGAAAATAAGATTACTATAATTTTTTCCCTAAAGCTTGCACTTTACTAATGAATACAATGGTTCAAATTGTATCCTGGAACTCACACGGTTAGCTGAATAGCTTTTTGAATAGAAAACAGCACATCTAGAAAGTGCTTGATTTACAGTGTGACTTTAGGATGGTTTTTAAGTTCAATACAATGATGAAAATGATTCAAAAACGATTCCAAGACCAATCCTGGAACTCACACGGATAGCTGAATAGCTTTTTGAATAGAAAACAGCACATCTCGAAAGTGCTTGATTTACAATGTGACTCTAGGATAGTTTGACCTGTATTTTGACCAGTACAATGGTCAAAATGATTCAAAAACCATTCCAAGCCCAATCTTGGAACGCACCCAAATAACTGAATAGCTTTTTAAGTGTCATTTTTAAAAACAAATTGAAAATTTTTTTTTGACCTCCTCTCTCCTCCAGTGCCTCTCAATTTACAATGTGTAGCTCTGGAGGTTATTTGGGGTCTAAGCACCTTTTGAAAGAGAAAGCCGAATCTCTGTTGTCATGTATTGGGACTCAAAAATGAGAAGGGAGCAAGGGAAAGGCGGAAAAAGCAAAGGGTTACAAATCTAGCTCCCCTTCATCCCCTTCAGGCCAAACCCTCCTCACCCCTCGATCTTTTCTCGATTTTCTCTCGATCTCTCGCCGATCTGGAACTCACCCTGCCTATTCAATCTCATTTCTGCACTAGATTCAACGCTTGAGCCATATTCAATTATGCCAGCTGAGGGTGGGTTCATTTTTACAATACTCAATGAGTTCCGTGAGAGTCCTATGGACGTGCTCATTTTTGTCGTGTTTGATCGTAATCCAATAGAGTGACATCCAGATTAGAAGAATCTTTAGAAATATTAGCTAATTTTAGCCTAGTAGCCCAGAAAACCCCCAGCTATCATTCATTCTATACTCTATTCCAAAAATATCTAAAATGCCGTTTTTATACCGTAATCCAATAGTGTGACATCCAGATTGAAAGAATCATTCAAAATATACGCTAACTTTAGCTACAGTAACCCAGAAAACCCTCAGCTATCATTCATTCGATTCCAATAATATCTAAAATGCCGTTTTTATACCGTAATCCCATAGAATGACATCCAGCTTGAAATATTCTGCGAAAAGATCCAAATTCCAGCTACGGGACTGGAGTTAAGAGCCGAATACCGAATAATTGAACATTCCCGTAAATAAGTTGCAACAATTATCCACTTTATCGCTTGCTCTTGTTCAAATAGTAGACTTTTTTGCGTTTAAAGCAAATATAAACCTGATTGTTCAAGGTTTATTCAAAGGTTTCAAATTTTACAAAGTTACAAAGTGATCTTGCTGTTGCGTTATTGTTCAAAAAGTCAATTTTGAGTGGCCTTGAATCTTTAAGAGCCTCTTTATTCAAGCGGTGTTCATCAGCCCGGTTAGCTCAGTCGGTAGAGCACCAGACTCTTAATCTGAGTATCGCGGGTTCGAGCCCCTCATCGGACTCCACTTTTTTTTCCAAATGGTTTTTCAACTGACTTTTAAGAGACCCTTTATTCTGCTGGTTTCCGTTAGCCCGTTTAGCTCAGTCGGTAGAGCACCAGGCTCTTAATCTGACTCTCACGGGTTCGAGCCCCCAAGCTTCGTTTTTTTGACCTGACTTGGCTTGGCACTTTTTCAAAAATGACTGAAATGGTGCATAACATTTCCCTGGGCAAGCCCTGATACAGATTTCGCTTTTATTTGCAAGCAAAAATACTTATCGAATCGATTTTCATTTCCTCCGCCCCCACATTGTTTACCTCGTCTCCCCTTTATCCTTCTTTTTTCTTTAGAGTCCAAAAAACGGCTTCTCTTTCATTTTTTACCTCAAACTTTCACTCACATTCTCTTTCTTTTCGTCATTTTCGATCACTTTCCACCCAACAGCTGACACATTTCGTTGATTTTGTGATAAAGAAAGCCAAATCCCTGAGAAATGATCGAGATTTTGATGGGGAGCATGCAAATTACACCCAAATTCCCCCAAATCGTTAAGAAAATTTTCACACATTTCAGCGATTTGTCTAGTCTTCAAGGGGAATTGGCGAAAATTATCAAAAAAAAAATTAACTATTCCGAGAAACGATGGCACCTTTGTGAGATGATCAAAATCTTTAAATTTAAAGCTTTTCTGATCTAGGAGTGGAGAATTTTCTTTAAAAAAACACCAATCTGAATGCCATTAAACATTTCCTTTTCAGTTTGGGAGAAAGCCAACGGCTCCTCGTCGGAGGAGGAAGAGGAGAGCGATGATGAGGTTTTTGAAAGCATTCCTTTTAAGAATTTATTTCTAAAATTTAAAATTTAAATATTCTGGAGCGCACAGTAGAGTTTTATAAAGTTTTCGAAGTTAAATTTTAAAGAAAAATTTTATCAAAAAATTTTATCGAAAAATTTTGAGATTTTTTTTGTAACCCCGTTCTCGTTTTTTTTTCTTGCCCAGAAATTGCGGTGGATTTGTTTGTTTGGATGGGTAATCGACCTGGGATTGAGGGGATTGAGAGGCAAAAAGAAAAGGTAAAGAAAAGAAATGGATACCATTCTTTTCGAATTTTTTACCTTTTTCCTTTTCAGAGACACTTCAAAGTGCCGCCCTTTGTTTCCAAATTTCATTTTTGATCTTTTACGAAAAATTTTAACAACATTTGATCAAGTGCGCTCCAGAATCGGGAAAGATTTTAGAGAAATTGAAAAATAGCTAAAGGGAACGATTTTTTCGGCTTCATTAACTTCACCAGCGTTTAGCCAGCTCCACCCCCGCGAAGAGCGATGTTTCGAATTGCTGGACAGGTTAGTGGACTTTGCCTGGTACTTTGTGCTCTTGTAAACGCACGCTTTCTGGGATCTTTGATTCTTTTAATGATTTTCTCATTTCAGCCGGCTGCTCCAACCACAACGCCGCAAGAAGCGAAAACGCAAATTGTCGAGGAGATCAAACAAGTCACCACACAGGGTAAAATATTCAAATTTCTGACAAAAACCTTTCATTTTTTTTAGCCGAAGCCGTAGCTGCGCCCGTTCAACAAACCGAGAAGAGCGACGCGGAGAAACGAGCGTTGGAGGAACGCCAGAAGCTGTTGGAGGCCCAGAAACAGGCACAGGTCAGTGGGAAATCCTAGGGATTGAAGGAAAGCTTGATCTGGAACGCACTACATCTAAAAAGCTCATCACTTTCTAGGCAGCCCAGGCGTTGGCCATGCAACAAGCGGCGGCCGCTCGTCAACCCAGCGAGGTAATCGAAATTTCAAAAATTTGCATATATCATAAATTTTATTCTCTCAAGTTATTATGTGCCTCCCAGATCTGCTAAATTTGCATTTAACTTTTAAAATTACCATTATATAACGAAAATTTTGATAGACGATCGACTCGAGCGTTAACCCAAAAAACCCAAAAACTTCTAGACCTTGAATTTTTGTTCTAATTCGATGCTGTGCCTCCCAGATCTGCTAAATTTGCATTTAACTTTAGAAATTACAATTATATAACGAGAATTTTGTTAGACGATCGATCGGCGTCAACCCAAAAACTTGTAGATCTTTTAGTTTGGAAAAACTTTAGCTTTTTTATTTTGATTCAATGCTGTGCCTTCCAGATCTGCTAAATTTGCATTTAACTTTTAAAATTACCATGATATAACGAAAATTTTGATAGACGATCGATTCGGGGGTCAACCCAAAAAACCCAAAACCTTCTAGACTTTGAATTTTTGTTTTGATTCAATGCTGTGCCTTCCAGATCCGTTGAATTTGCATTTAACTTTAAAAATTGAATTATTTACCCAAATCTTAACAGGCCATCGACACCGAGACGAAAATGCAAGAGGTTTGAATGGGAATTACTGTAGATTGTTTTTCGCAAAAACTGACTGGCTTACTCTCGTGTTGTTTAGGATTCCTGTAACCGGATTTATATCGAATTTTTGTTTTAGGCAAAAGCTGAAGCCGAAGCGGAGAGGAAAGCGGCCGAGGAGAGGATGATGGCCGTCAAAAAACAGCAAGAAGAAGCGTTGAAAAAAGCACAAGAAGCCCAACAAAAAGTGAGGGGTTTTTGCAAGAAAGCGGACCGTTTTGTTTTTGGTCTTAAACCCTTTTATTTACAAGCCATTTTTCAGGCGCAAGAAGAAGCCAAAGCTCGTCAAGAAGCAGCACTCAAGCAAGCACAAGAGGCGCAGGCTAGGGTGAGGAGCTAATAAGCTAATAAGTTGAAAAAAAGCTAATAAGGTACTTTTCGGTTATACTCCCGCTACCTCCGCCACTCGAAAATTGAAAAAAACGGTACTATGCGGTACCTCCCATGCATCAATATGTGTATTTGTGAATTTAGCCTAGCCTGATGCCATTTCGGCAGAGGTTTTTGACGTTAAAGACCTCTGATATCAAGCTCTGACCTAAGTGATAACAGACTAGGCTGAACTCACAACAGTCTGGGTGAATTCAGCCTGACCAGTTCGGCCAGGCCCAGTTCGGCAGAGGTCTTTAACATCAAAAACCTCTGCCGAACTGGCATCAGACTAGGCTAAATTCACTGAGACTGTTGTGAATTTAGCCTGATGCCAGTTCGACAGAGGTTTTTGACGTTAAAGACCTTTGATATCAGACTAGGCTAAACTTACAACAGTCTGCGTGAATTTAGCCTAGCCTAATGCCAGTTCCGCAGAGGTTTTTAACTTCACCAACCTGCAAATCATCGATCCGGGTGATAAATTCCAAAAACTTGTCAACGAGCGTCTTCGTACTCCGATTAGCCACTTCAGTAGCGAAGCATTTGTTTGGGTGGTGGGGGTATAACCGAAATGTACCGCTAATAAATGTGATTATATTCTTGGAAAATATTTAGAATAGATCTGCTTTTCCTTTTGGGAATTTTATCAAAATCGGATTGCGTTGGTTTAGACTGAGAAATTTCGATTCAAATTGAATCAAAACGAATTCGATTTTCTGATTCTCTTTTAGAAACATCTAATAGCAAAAGTTTCTTAATAGAAATGCTAAAAACTGAAATCCAAAAGCGAGTAAACGAATTTTGATTGACACAAAGCTGGCCATGAAATGTTTTTCTTTAAAAAGTTTAAATTTAATTGAAAAATAACTAGAGTACAAGAGGTTTTTTGTAAAAAAGAAAGCTTTTAAAGAAATAAGTTGAACAAAGAGATCAAAGGATAAAGTTATAGAGTCAGCAATCAACAATAGAGCAATCAGCAATCAACAATAGAGCAATCAGCAATCAACAATAGAGCAATCAGCAATCAACAATCAACCATGCTCTTCTCTATTTAATCATAGTGTACTCAAAATTCAGGCTCAAGCTGAGGCAAAGGCTCGTCAAGAAGCGGCATTGAAGCAAGCGCAAGAGGCCCAAGCAAGAGCACAAGCCGAGGCACAAGCCAGACAAGCAACTGCACAGAAACAGGCACAAGAGGCACAGGAAAAGGTGGGTTAGATTGTTAGAGTTAGAAACTCATTGTTAGATAATTTTTTGATATCTTTCAGTCTCAAGCCGATGCTAAAGCTCGTCAGGAAGCTGCACAGAAGCAAGCGCAAGAAGCGCAAGCAAAGGTCGGCCAAAACATGAGAAGTTTCTGAAACTTTAGAAATTTTTGGATTTATCGATTTTTCAAAATTTACACTTGAAATGACCAAAAATAAACCGAAAAGAAATCGAAATTTCTTTGATTTTCAACAGCCATTTCATTCTTCTCAACTAAATACAATTGAAAATGAACTTAAAAGAGAGTTTAATAAACAAATCGTTTATTACAGGCTCAAGCTGATGCTAAAGCTCGTCAAGAAGCTGCTCAGAAGCAAGCGCAAGAAGCGCAAGCAAAGGTTGGTCAAAAAATGAGAAGTTTCTTAATCTTTTGATGTAATTTTCATTAGAAATCGATGAATAATACATGTCAACAGAGATTTTAACCATTTGATTTTTGATTTTCAGGCTCAAGCTGATGCTAAAGCTCGTCAAGAAGCTGCTCAGAAGCAAGCGCAAGAAGCGCAAGCAAAGGTCGACCAAAACACGAGAAGTTTATTGAATTGCAAATTGACAGAGAAGAGATGCTCAACTTGCTGAGCCTGTCAACACTTGTTAAAAAAAAGCAAAAGAAAAGTCCAAGGCCGGCGTCGGGATCGAACCGGTGAGCTCTGGCCCCTGACAGCCAGACGCTCTACCACTCGGCCATAGCTGCACGCGAACCCGGGGGTTAAGACGACCATTAAGATCCCGCTAAGACTCAAATTCGATCCCAGCTTGACCAAATTTTCAGAAGAAACTTTAGAAACTCTGGACAGATTGTCATTTAGCAAAAAAGGTCCAAGGCCGAGATCGAACTCGTGAGCTCTGGCTCTTGAAAGCCACTCGGACACGGCTGCATGCGGGGGTTAAGACGACCATTAAGACCCCGCTAAGACTCAAATTCGATCCCAGCTTGACCGCATTCTGATTGGAAACATGATCACATTCATGATTTTAGCTGTACTTATCGTACTAACTGTGTAAAAATTAAGTAATCAATAGTTTACACGGATAATCTACAATCTTACAGATCTATTTCGAATTCAACAAACGATTTTCAGGCAAAAGCTGACGCCGAAGCTCGCGCCAAGGCTCAGCAAGAGGCACAAGCAAAGGTTGAAAAAAGTTGAAAGCGAAAAATTCGAATTTACAGGCTCAAACTCTTGCCCAGCAACAACAGCAACAGAAACAAGTAAGGAAATTGTTTCGTTTTTTAAATGTTTATTTAAAAATTCAAATTTCCAGGCTCAACAACAAGCCCAACAAGCCCAAAAAACCGCTCAACAACAGGTTTTTTCAAAAAAATTTTAAATACTTTAAAAATCGATTTTCTCAAACTAAACGAATAGTATGACATCCAGAATAGAGAAATTTTAAATGAAATCTTTTTGTTGCTCTGGTATCCCTCGAATTTTCTGACTTCGACTCGTAAATGCCTTTGTGACAACGAAATTTCCATTTAAATACACCAAGAGAATGACTGGAAATTTAAATAAATGAAAATTTAGCCTCAGCAACAACAACAACAACAACAACAACAACAACAACAATTGACGAAAGGGCCAGCAGCGAAGCCCCAGGAGGCCACATTGAACTCACAAGCGACCAGCCATTCAGTCAAGCAACCGATAAAGGAACCAGGTTTGTCATTGATTTCATTGGCATTGTCATTGTCAATTTTGTCTTCAAAACACTTTTTCTGGGATAATTTTATGTGTAGATTCCAAAAAACAAAGCGAGAGCTTGAGAAAAGGCGTACAACTCGAGTTTCGGGGATTCGAAGTGCCGCTTCTTTGGCCAACGAAATTTGACTTTTGGTTTTTCACTCGTAAAAGGAATACATTCAAAACGGAGTACATTCAAAACGGAGTACATCCAAAACGGAGTACATCCAAAACGGAGTACATTCAAAACGGAGTACATCCAAAACGGAGTACATCCAAAACGGAGTACATTCAAAACGGAGTACATTCAAAACGGAGTACATCCAAAACGGAGTACATTCAAAACGGAGTACATCCAAAACGGAGTACATTCAAAACGGAGTACATTCAAAACGGAGTACATCCAAAACGGAGTACATCCAAAACGGAGTACATTCAAAACGGAGTACATCCAAAACGGAGTACATCCAAAACGGAGTACATTCAAAACGGAGTACATTCAAAACGGAGTACATCCAAAACGGAGTACATTCAAAACGGAGTACATCCAAAACGGAGTACATTCAAAACGGAGTACATTCAAAACGGAGTACATCCAAAACGGAGTACATCCAAAACGGAGTACATTCAAAACGGAGAAACTTCTTTGCAAATGGCACAATTCACACATGCGAGCGCAATTTTAATCGTCTTGCAAAAGTAGTTCCACAAACAAACATCTACAGGGTGGCCGACGAAATTTGGCCTGAAGTTTTTGACTTATAGATGATGTCGCATTTATCGAAAACTTATTAAACTCATATCCAAGTGCACAATTTTGTCTTCAAAACCACTTTTTCTGGAGTTTTTTTTATGCTTAGATCCCGAAAAACAAAGCGAGAGCTTGAGAAAAGGCGCACAACTCGAGTTTCGGGGATTCGAAATGGATTTCTTTCGGGGATTTCTTTGGCCAACGAAATTTGACTTTTGGTTTTTCACTCGTAGATGATGCCGCATTTATCGAAAACCTATTAAACTCATATCCAAAAATCTATCTAATATTCTGTAGTTTCTAAAAATTGTAATGATTTTAAAAGAGATCTTCTAGTTTTTGAGTGATGCCTAGGCTTAGGCTTAGGCATAACTCATGCCCGTTTCCCTGTCCTCCAAAAAAAACGCCTCTGCACCGAAAGTGATGTAGAGGTTCACCCTAGAATCTCGTTTTGCAAGCTGGCTGCTGAAAGAATGTTTTCAATTACTAGCTAAGGTTTTCTTTTAGCCAACTTGACCCAGAATCTGATAGAAAAATGGAAAAAACAAATCATTTTACACATTTTTTTACCAGCATTTCCACCAGCATCTCCAGAAAAAAAACGGCAAAAATCGAGGGTTTGTAAAAGACTGTAAAAGCACTTTTAAGTCATTTAAATTTAAATTTAAAGTTTGATTTCAAAAAAAACTGAGAATATTGGCTACATTTTTGGAGTTCAATAGATTTTGATAAACTTTAGAGAACGAGACGTACGGTAGAAGGCCAAGGCTGGGTTATGGTAGTGTAGCAAGTCATCTACAAGTCAAAAATCCTTGCACCAAATTTCGTTGGCCAAAGAAGCGGCACTTTGATGCCCCGAAACTCGAATTGTACGGCTTTTCTCAAGCTCTCGTTTTGTTTTTCGGGATCTAAGCATAAAAATACTCCAGGAAAAGTGTTTTGAAGACAAAATTGTGCCTGCCCAGCTAGGCTAACACCACTCCTTCAGATTCAGTCAAGCCTGAGCCTAAGCCTAAGTCGAAGCCAAGCCTAAGCCTAACCAAAGCACAAAGGCAATTGCTTGTTCCTTAGCTCTGAGAACTGGCCGAGATCCAGAAAATGGGGGTTGAGCCCAAATTCAAATAGACTTAGTGCGAGGCGCTAGCCGCTAGCCTTGGCACTAAGTCCAAGCCTAAGCCTAAGCCTGAGCCAAACCTAAACCAAGCCAAAACCAAGCCTAAGCTAAGCCTAAGCCTCATTTTAGGTAAACTGCCCGCCCAGGCTCAGCAACCGGAAGCGATCAAAGGCGCCGCCGCCACCGTGCCCGGCAACACCGCTTTGAAGCAAACGGCCAAGGTTTGTAGCTGGGAAAAACGAATATCGCACCAAGCTTTGTACAGATTATATCAAACGCAGCTCTAGGTGCAAATTTAGCCGATCTGGAAGGCATATAACAAGCTGAGATAAGAATTTCGGACTTTTACCCAAAAACACAAATTTCCCTAAAGTCAACGAAGCTTATTCTCGTTTTTTCACCTATAATTAATTTCCACCAGGTAGTGTGATATCCAAAAACAAAAGTTTTCGATTTTTGAATCCCCAAAACGCGGATCTAGCTTGTAAACGTGTTTGTTTGGAAGATTTGGCGATGTCTCTAATGAAAGCTCTCTCTTCCTCCCTTTCCCTTTGTTTTTGAGTCGATTTGCGTTGGGGTGAAAAGTGTAAAGTTTCTTTCATTTTTCTTTCATTGCGAGAATCAATTGAATCATTTTGATTTCAGGGAAAAGGGGAAAAAGAGAAACGGCTTTTTAGAGGGTTTTTTGATCATAAAAAACGCTAAGGATCATAAAAGCAAGCTCGAAAAAGTAAACCCATAAATCTTGACTACTTTTAAAGATTTTTAATCAATTTCACCGTAGCTCGGAAAGCTGGAGTGCACATGAAAATATAAATGCAAATTTTGAAACGATTCTTCCGAAATTTTTCGAAGAAGTTTTCCCCGTAACGAGTTTACCCTTAAATTTTGAAGATTTTGATGAAAATTTACGCTAAATTTCACAAAATCCGACAATCTGGAGGGCACAATAGCGAAATAAAATCGGTTCCAATACGGTTCCAATACAGTTCCAATACGGTTCCAATACGGTTCCAATACGGTTCTAATACCGTTCTAATCCGGTTCCTACACGGTTCCAATGCGGTTTCAATACGGTTCCATTACGGTTCCTACACGGTTCCAATACGGTTCCAATACGGTTCTAATACCGTTCCAATCCGGTTCCTACACGGTTCCAATACGGCTCCCATACGGTTCCAATACGGTTCCAATACAGTTCCAATACGGTTCCAATACGGTTCCAATACGGTTCCAATACGGTTCTAATACCGTTCCAATACCGTTCCAATACGGTTCTAATACCGTTCCAATACCGTTCCAATACCGTTCCAATACGGTTCCTACACGGTTCCAATACGGTTCCATTACGGTTCCAATACAGTTCCAATACAGTTCCAATACAGTTCCAATACAGTTCCAATACAGTTCCAATACGATTCCCATACGGTTCCATTACGGTTTCAATACGGTTCCAATACGGTTCCAATGTTGCTTTGGACACGATGAACTTCGATCGATTTCACAAAATCCGACAATCTGGAGGGCACAATAGCAAAATAAAAACATTTCAGGCTCAAGAGTCATCGATGTCCGATGCGCCACTCCACCCGGTGCACACCGCCGCGCTAGCTGGTTGGGTTTTTTGTGATAGTTTGCTCAAAATTCTAACCGAAAACGAAAAGCTGGATATCAGGACGAAATTTGAAACGCTTAGAAAGTTGTTTGCTTTAAAATGAAATTTTCAGGCGTGAACGCTCAACGCCCGACCGTCAAGCAGACCGATGTCGAGAAGCGTTTCGTTGAGAAGTCGGGTTTTACACAAAAATTGAAACCAAATAGATATATAGACCTTTTGACTACCGTAATCCATCTAAATGACTAAAAGAACTATAGCTAAAAGATATTCAGTCAATCAGTAGGTTAGTCCAATATTTCGGCCTATTGTTATCCATAGCATTGTTTTTTTTTCGTGATTTCTTTCATCTGAGTGTCGTTATTGATGAGGCCTTAAAGGAACAGTTGGCTGGGGAAAACAAAAGGCTTTTGAGATATTCAGTTAACGGACGAGTGATCGATCAAGATCGATCAAGCACTTTTTAAGCCACTTGATAAAGTTTATCAGCTAAAAATTAAATTTTTAGCTATTCTGGAACGCACTGGATAGCCTAGCAAAGAAATTTATTCAATTCCAATTACAAAAAAACCTTTAAGATATTCAGTTGACGAACGTCAGTCGATCAAGCATTTTTAAAGCCATCTGATAACGTTTATAAGCTAAAAATTAAATTTTCAGCTGTTCTGGAACGCACTGCGTAGCCTGGCAAAGAAAATTAGCCAAATTATCCAATTTAAAATTTCCGACTTTTGCTAATTTCCGTATGCAAATTTTGAGTGTAAATAGGTGGAAACCGGAATCAGCTACAGTAGTCCGTTAAATTTGATTGTTGTTTTAAATTTGAAAGTTTACAAATTTCAGAGAAGAATCCCTGCCCGAGAAGCAGCGCGTGGCTCGCGGCGGTATTTTGGTCGGCGCTCAGAAGTGGGAGCAGGAGTCGGTGGTGAGGTTGGTGCCTCGATTCTCGACCGGAATTTCGAGAATCTTTTTTTTTATCTTAAAACTGCTCGTTCTGGAAGACACACATGCTAAAAACAAGGTCAACGCAGGGAAAAGTTTGATTTGAAAATTCGAGAGACCGCAAATCGAGTTAGTCGCCAAATCTCATTAGTCTGACAAGAAGCAAGTGACTCCAGTCTTGTTTTCATTCATCCTGGAGTGCACTAAAAGTTTTGAGCGCAAAAATTGAATGCTTAGTCGAATTTCGAGAAATGAGGTCCAGGTGTCAGAGTTGAGACATCGGGACCGGGGCTGTGTGGGTCAAGGGGAGGGTTTTGGGTGAGTCGAAAAGGGCTTTTTCGATCAACATGGCTAACACGTCGACCGCCTTTGCTCTCCAATCTCCAATTGTCGCCCGTTCAAATCACAGCCTCTCCCTTTCTCATTGCTCGATTGCCACTCGACTCGATTGCCACTTTTCGCATTTCGATTCGACTTCCTTTCCCTTTTCTCGGAAATTTCGATTTCCGAAAGGTCATTGATAAAAACGAAGCGATGAAAAGCTTCCGGCTTTACTTTTTAACGTTTTCGAATTCGAATTTAACTTTTGTTCTTGAAAAATGGCATTAATTTTTTAAAGATTTGCATTTAAGATGTATTTTTATCAAAGATGGATATCAGTTGAGAGTTTTTTTCAATTGAAATTGAGGCCAGATGGCCGACCGGTTAGAAGTCTTGTCTTTAAGCGGAAGGTCGAGGGTTCAATCACGCTGGCAAGATAAAAATGTTTCTTTTTCCCACCAAGTGGGTTTTTTCTTTCACAACATTTGGGTAATAGGGATAATAGGGGTAACGGCCGCAGTGCCATAAAAATTGTGTATTTAGACCGTTATGTCTTATTATGTATCCTTTGTTTGTATCACATTATTGGCTTTCAATAAATGCATTTTTTTTTTTAAAAATTCAGGGAAACCCAACCGGACATGACACTCGAACGTGGGCCGGCCGGCATTCGGCTTCAGGTTTATTTTTATGAAAATTTTAGAGGCAAAAACTTTATCACTTTAGCAGTTTATGAAGTAAAAACCGAATATGCTATGTGTTTTTTTTTTCTGAAAAACCATTCCTTACTTAACCCATTCGAAACTTCTGCAGCGAATAATCGCTGCAGCAAAAACTCAGGAACGGACCGCTACAGCGAATAATCGCTGCAGCAAAAGCTCAGGGACGGACCGCTACAGCGAAAAAATGTTCGGCTTGGTCCGCAGACGAAAAAAAAGAAAAAACGCTGCGGTTTCGAATGGGTTAAGCTGGTATTTTGATGATTGAAAAGGGCTACTTTCGAATTCTCTTTGAAAAGTAATATTTCCCTAATTTGTAAGCATATTATAATTAAAATCTGTATAGAAATTGAAAATCAATTGGTAAAATATCAATAAAATATCAATAAATTCATAAATTCTAGGATGACGCCTGCTGGCAAACGCAGCATCGCATCGCACCGGAGATCGATGTGCCCGCCGTGGGGAAAGTCGCGATTCCCGAGTTCAACGATGAGCACGAAGTGCAGGTGAGATGATGGAATGAATGACAACACTTGGGATTCGCAAGCCTAGGATCTGTACGCTAGGTTAAATATTAGTGGCTGTTGGCTTTGGAACAGGCAAGAGCCTGTAAGCCAGCTCTAGTACTGGTCGGTGATAAGGTTGGTGCCCCGATTCTCGACCGGAATTTCGAGAATTTCTTTTTGATCTCAAAACTGCTCGGTCTGGAAAGCACACGTGCCAAAAACAAGGTCAACGCAGGGAAAAATTTGATTTGAAAATTTGAGAGACCGCAAATCGAGTTAGTCGCGTAATCCCATTAGTCTGACAAGAAAGAAATGACTTCAGTCGTCTTTCCATGCATCCTGGAGTGCACTAAAAGTTTTGGGCGCAAAAATTGAATGCTTAGCTCAATTTCGAGAAATGAGGGCCAGGTGTCAGAGTTAAGACATCGGGACTGGGGCTCTGCGGGTCAAGGGAAGGGTCGGGGTGGATCGAGGAGTGCTTTTTCGATCAACATGGATAGCACTTCGACTTTTGTCAGCCTTTAGCTAGCCAGAGTTTTGGGCGTAGAAATTTAATATTCAGATCAGTTCAAAGTCGATTTGGCTTTTGGCTGGTCGGCCTTTTGCGATCCTGGGCTGCCTGGCTTGACCCTGGACTGCCTGGGTTGATTCTGGGCTGCCTGGGCTGATCCTGGTCTGCCTGGCTTGACCCTGGACTGCCTGGCTTGACGCTAGGCTGCCTGGGCTGATCCTGGACTGCCTGGTCTGATCCTGGGCTGTCTGGCTTGACCCTGAACTGCCTGGTCTGATCCTGGACTGCCTGGCTTGACCCTGGACTGCCTGGTCTGATCCTGGACTGCCTGGCTTGACCCTGGACTGCCTGGTCTGATCCTGGACTGCCTGGTCTGATCCTGGACTGCCTGGTCTGATCCTGGGCTGTCTGGCTTGACCCTGAACTGCCTCGTCTGATCCTGGACTGCCTGGCTTGACCCTGGACTGCCTGGCTTGACCCTGGGCTGCCTGGTCTGTGATGATTATGATCTGTTCTTTTTGACACATTCACGACAATTTCACCCACCCACCCCTAATAACAATTATTTTAAATCTCAACTAGAGTTTTTAATGGCTTTTTACTCGAATTTTATCCAAGTTTTTAAGAGAAAATTTAGAGCTATTTAATGACTTAATTTGTTGATTTTAATTTATAATTTTAATCTTTAATTTTAATCTTTATCAATCTTTAACTTTTATTTCCAATAAATCATTTATAAAACAGTTAACAACTAAGCTACTTTACGCTCAAAATAAAATTGTGAATGTTTGAAAATGTAACTGTCAAAATCTGGTACAATGAAAACTCTTGAAAACAATGAAACTCTTGAAACTAAAAAAATTTCTAGAAAACGATCGTCGCGAAACCGGTGGGCTTTCAGAAAATCGTTTGGAACGAGTTTCCCGAGGACAATTCGCCGGTAGAAATGTTAAAAAGTTCAAAATTTAAAGGAAATTTTCCAGAAAGACAAAGTGCCAGCGCCTCGTGTCAAAGCTCAAGAATGGAAACCCGTCAATCAGGTAAATGAGTTTTTATCCTTTTTTCTATGACGAAAATCATTCACTTTTACTCTCCACTCCATTTTTGCGCCCTCTTTTTAGTCATAAAGAAAGAAGTCATTAGTCAGGTGGCATTTATGAATAAAAAATAGTTGAAAGGGCTAAATTGATATATCTAGAATGGTGGGGAAAACTGGAAACGAAAAAACGAACTGGAAATTCCACTTTCCCCTGATCTTTCCAGCTCTGCCTGGGTGACGATAGTATCATTTTCCTTCCTCAAAACGCAAAATTGAAGCCAGGGTTCGAATCTCGTAGCGAAAAACGATCATTGCCCCCTTTATGACTTCACAAGAACAAAAACAAAACAAAATCCACAAGGTAAAAGGTGGAAAAACGAATTGAACGAATTTGTTAGTCATCCACCCATTGTTCGTCAACGGCAACCACCTCCAGATCCGATTCCCCATCTGCAGATGATCCGATTCCTCTAGATGATCCGATTCCTCTAGATGATCCGATTCCTCCAGATGCTTCGATTCCCCGTCTCCAGATGATCCGATTCCTCCAGATGCTTCGATTCCCCGTCTCCAGATGATCCGATTCCTCCAGATGCTTCGATTCCCCGTCTCCAGATGATCCGATTCCTCCAGATGATCCGATTCCTCTAAATGATCCGATTCCTCCAGATGATCTGATTCCCCATCTCCAGATGATCCGATTCCTCTAGATGATTCGATTCCCCATTTTCCTATCGGCTCTCAATATTATGGGGCACCTATCAGTTCATCTAGAAACTCTGGAATTCAATTAGGTTCGACGACTCAGATCGGATACGTCTGCGAACGAACTACTCAATTCGAAAAGCGTTTAAACGAAAGCAGGGCTTTAAAATGGAGAGGACAGCAAAAAAATAGCTTCAATTGTCGACTCAATTGCCGACTTCAATTGCAAAGACAATTGCACAATTCGATGCTTTGCCAGCATCGAAAACATTTGCAAAAAAGAGGCGAAGACAATTTTTTTTTGTCGTAGCATAATGTAAATCAAATTGTACTCATGACAATTTTAAAGAAAAATCGTCTATGAATTCAGCTACAAATTCCGATACTACAAATTACAAAGCACAAAAGTTTTATCCTCAACATAAATTTGCTCATTTTCTCTCAATCTTTGCTCGAAATTCTTAAGAATCTGTGGGTCGCTGGTTCGAATCCCGTTAGTGACAAAATTTTCATTGATAACATTGACATTGACATTGACTTTCGCTAATATTCCCTTCGCCATAGGCTTTTGAAATAGAATAGAAATAGAAATAGAATTGAAATAGAAATAGAATAGAAATAGAATTGAAATCGAATAGAATAGAATAGAAAAAGCATAGAAATTCTGAGTGCTCAGCGATCATGGAGTTGAAAAGTTTGCAAAGCCGCAAATCTTTTTTGATAATCTTGCCTAGTGTGCTCCAGATTGGTGGGCTCGATAAGTGGAATCTTGGAAAACCCCTTGATCTTCGAGAAAAGCGACCACACTCTGACCGCTGAGTGATCATCGAGTTAAGATGTTGCAAAACCGCTAACTTTATTTTATAATCTTGCCTAGTGTGCTCCAGATTGGCGGGCTCGATAAGTGGAATCTTGGAAAACCCCTTGATCTTCGGGAAAAGCGACCACACTCTGAGTAGAATAGAAATAGAATAGAAATAGAATAGAAATAGAATAGAAATTGAATTATGCGATTCTCGGACAGATTTTCCAAGCTTAAAGCAGCTCGAAGTAAAGAGTAAAGCAGCTCGAATAAGCAATTTTTATTCCCTCATTTTTTTGATAACAAAGGAACCAATGTTTTCGAGTAATGATGATTGTGTAAGCAAAGAAACTCTCCTTCTCTGTTACCATCGCGGTTTTCTTTGTTTATCTGCCTGCCATTACTTTCCCAAAAGCACAAGTTAATAAATTCGCATTATTTTCCCGCTAGCCTAATACCGGAAAACGGATTTCTGAAAAACGGGAATTGTATTTTCCCGTATTTTCTCTAATTGTAGCGCAGCGTGAGCGTCGCCTAAATTCCTCGAAATCTCGAGAACCACTTATCAGAATCTATCGATGTGGGGTCGCAAAATATAGCTGACGACGAGATCTAGCGGGGGATTTGAGTGTTGAGCTTCTGCAAAAGCTTGGAAACCGTAAAATTATCATCAACGCAACACATCAACATCAAATTCACAAGTAAAAAGCCGTTGTTTTTTTTGCTGAACGCTTTTCGATTTTAAAAATAAGCTTAAGAAAAGGAAATCTTCAGGAGAAAATGCAAAAAAGAAAAAAAAAAGAAGAAAAGAAGAAAAGAAGAAGAAAAAATAAGAAATAGAATGTTTTTTTTGATGAATTTTAAATGTTTTCAAGTAGAAAAGAAGAAATTATTTTTGAATTTTTAAATTTAAATTTCCATTCAAATTTGCATCCAATTTGCATCCAAATTTGCATTCAAATTTGCGGTCAAATTTACATTCAAATTTACATTCAAATTTACATTTAAATTTACATCCAATTTGCATTCGGATTTGCATCCAATTTGCATTCAAATTTACATTCCAAATTTCCATTCAAATTTGCATTCAAATTTACATCCAATTTGCATTCAAATTTGCATTCAAATTTACATTTAAATTTGCATTAAATTTGCATTTAAATTTATTAGGTTGATGCAAAAGTCTTTTTCATTTTTTTCGTACTTCCGTTAAAAAGTAACAAATGCACCAATTGAACAACGGTTTATTGCATTCGAAAGGCCAATTATTTTTCTGCAAAATGACATTAAAACGAGTTTAAAATGTCTTATGTCCAGATTTTTTTGAGAGCCTGAAGTCGGGTAGTGCCGTGAGAGCCGTCCAAAAAAGGCGACGGCTCGATGATGCATTTTAGACGCTTTAGCTAAGGAAACCAATCTTGATGTTAATAAATAAAAGATAGAGCACAAAAAGTTAGGTAAATAGCCAAATTTTCAGAGAAATTGATTCAGCCAATTTCTTTATAGAGGTTTTTATAGATTTTTATGAAAAACCCGTTTTCACTCTCGAATTTGCTTGAAAGTGAACCGAAATTGACTTAAAAAGATGGGAAATTGAACAATAAACACTTTTCATTTAGAGCAAACCATAGGTTAATTGATGACTTTGTTATTTTTCAAAAGAAGTACGAAAAAAATGAAACAGACTTTTGCATCAACCTAATACATTCAAATTTACATTCAAATTTACATTTAAATTTGCATTTAAATTTGCATTTAAATTTACATTCAAATTTACATTCAAATTTACATTCAAATTTGCATTTAAATTTACATTCAAATTTGCATTCAAATTTGCATTTAAATTTACATTCAAATTTGCATTCAAATTTGCATTTAAATTTACATTCAAATTTACATTCAAATTTGCATTTAACCAAAAACCAAAATTTTTTTAAAAATCACTTTTTTAATCTTCGAATTGTTCTCCAGATTGGTTTATTTATTTGTCAGCTTTTTAAAAATCAATAAAATTTTCGATAAAAACCCTAAAACTCCCCCACTAAACCAAATGATTAAAGAAAAATCTTTCGAAAATTGAAAACAAATAATTTTTTCTCTTCTGTGCACTCCAGATCACTCGAAAATTAAAATAAAATTCAAATGAAATTTTTTTGATTTCTTGATTCTTTGAGCTTTTCAGAGCTAAGTGAACGATTTCACCCTTTCTTCGATTTTCGGCAAATCAAAAACCTTTTCAACAACATTTTATGACTCGTTAAGCAGCGAAGGAGGAAAAAAATTCCCCCCAATAACAAGTGATAAGCTGTAAAAAGCCGGAGATCACGCAATGAACCTCGGGAAAGTTCAAAAATTGAACCCTTCCAAACTTCTTGCGAGTACAGCCATTTTCCTCGAAGACCAGATTCCCTCTGGGGATTTGATCTTTGAAATTCACCAAGCTGGAACGCATTCTATAAATGAGTTCAAGAGTTTTTTGGAAATTTACAACTTTTCAACTCGACGATCGCTGAGCGCTCAGAGTGTGGTCGCTTTTCTCGAAAAGTAAAGCATTTGCTGAGATTCCACTTTTCAAACCTGCCAATCTGGAGCACACTAGGCAAGGTTATCGAAGAAAATTTGCGGCTTTGCAACTTTTCAACTCGGCGATTGCTGAGCTCTCAGAATGCGGCCGCTTTTCTCGAATATCAAGGGGTTTTCCAAGATTTCACTTATCGAGCCCGCCAATTTGGAGCACACTAGGCAAGATTATCAAAAAAGATTTGCGGTTTTGCAACATTTTAACTCGATGATCACTCAGCGCTCAGAATGCGGCCACTTTTCTCGAATATCAAGGGGTTTTCCGAGATTTCACTTATCGAGCCCGCCAATCTGGAGCACACTAGGCAATGTCATCAAAAAAGAATTGCGATTTTACAACTTTTCGACTTCATGATCGCTGAGCGCTCAAAATTTGTCGAATTTTTGTCGAATTTTCAGTAAACATCTTTGTTTTCGCAAAAGAGGAACATCTTTTTTTTTCGAAATGAAATGTTTTCATCTTCTTTCCCTTATCATTTATGTATTGCTCACTGCCATTTCCCTTTACTCGTTTAATTTTTCATCAAAAGCAGTAAAAAAACTTTTTTTTCCAAAGATCATCCTCGTCATCAATCGTCATTTTTCGAGAAAAAGTTGTTGATTTTCTTTTTAATTTCTTTTTTAAAGTAAAAACAGATCTAGGAAGCTTTAAAATAATTGTATTGTAGGATTGTATTGTAGAATTATATTGTAGGATTATATTTTGTTTAATCAGATCGTGTTTAGCAGAAACGAGCAAGCTGGAGCTATGGAAAAAAAGGAAAACACAAGTTTTCTCAATGATTTTTGAGCTATTCTTCTCTAAAAATGTCTGCCATTCACTTCAAAATTCAAAGAAAAAGCGTTCCCAACAGAGAAAAGACAACAATTTATTTGGTCAATTCTTTTTCTTGGGGCCGGGAACCCTTAAAGAGCCCTTAAAGAGCTCCCGGCCCCCCGCAAAAGCCCCCTTCGCCCAAAATTTCTCGATTTTCACCCCCGCAAATTGCATTTTACATGAAGTAACCTTTTTTCAAGAAATTATCTGAAAAATTGGGGCTCTGATTGAAACTTTTGAAGATCCTGGATGTCATGAAGCTCGAAAAAAACGTTTTGAGGGTTTTTGAGGCGAAAAATTCTTCCAGCTTCACCACTTGGGTAATTGAGCCGGAGCCAAAAGTCGAGGGTTTGCCGAAATCTTTGCCCCAATCTTTTCTGTGCGTTCCAGCTTGAGCCTTGAATTTGTTTAAAACTTTTGAATTGGTGTCGCTTTCTCTAAAATCTAACCAGCTCATTTACCCAACTTCCAATTTTGAGCTTTTTGTGAATTCGAAGTCAAGAAATGACGAAAAATGGTCAAGAAACCGATTTTTCTATAATTAACAGGAAATTTGTTTAAAAACAACACTTTTCTTATAAAAAATTGGATGTTTTCGACCCGGAAACCCATCAAAATTGGCTGTTTTGAAAAATTTCACGAACTTTTGTCAAAGTTATAACTGTTTTTGAGCCTTTACAATTGTTTTAAGCAACTTTCTCTTCAAAATTTCTTCATTAAAATAAAAAGAAAAAATTACCGGCAGCACCCGGGATCGAACCCGGGTCGTTTTGACTCGAAGTCTTGACTCGAGTGGCTAGAAAAACCCACTGCGCCATGGGGGCATGAAATTTTTTTCTCTTACTTTTTTGAGTTTTAAGCTCTGATTTTTGAAGCGTGATATCCAGATGGGATTTTCGTTTTTTTAAAAAATCAGGCAACAACTTATTCCGACGAAAAACTCGTGTCGAGCATAAATCGCTGCCTCGCAAAACCTCCAAAAAATCGACTTTTTCAAGAGATTTCCCGTAAAAGGCATAAAATTAGTTCGATCTGAGCAGAAAAAAGTGTTTCCTAGGGATTTGGGCGGAAATTTGTTCAACGCAAAAACATTTCCTTTTCAAATCACGTAATTAGTCGTACTTGTTTTTCACGAATTTCTCTGCTTTCGAATCTCTCTGCATATTTCGGGTTTTTTCTTGTAAAAGAAAAGTTTTAATAAATTTTTCATCAATCCTGGATGTCACACTAGATAAATACGAATAGATGCGGGCACTTTGGGTATTTTTGAGATGCGACTATTTATGAATTCGGTAGCTGGGGGCAATTCCGGGTTTTTGAAGTAATAAAAAACGAAAATTCTTTAATATTTACTTTTCCTGGATATCATTTTGGGTAAATATCGTGAAATGAGCATTTTTGCATAGATTTACTCCAAATGTGCTTACGAAGTTTCGACTCTGCCACGTTTCCGGGTTTCTAGGCTTTTAAAAGCCTGAATTTCCTCAATTTTTACCATTTCTGGATGTCAGTTGACTTAGAAACGCCGGAATTCGGTTCGATTTCCATTTTTAAGATTTCCTTGAAAAGATCTTGGACGTTTTTTTGAATTTTCTTTATAGCGAAAGACCGGAAATGGGATTTCATCAAAAAAATCAAAAATAACAAATTTAAAAGTTTATTTTTGTAACTTTATCCGATTTTTCCTTTCTTATTAGATGATTCAAATGTTTTTCGAAAAAAAAAACACGCCATTTATCCTTCCTTAAAAATGATTTAGAATTGACGATTAGCGACGAAAATTGGCGTCAATTTTCGTCAATTTTCGTCAATTTTCGTCAATTTTCGTCAATTTTACAACTATTTGTGAGCCTTTACAATTGCTTTAAGCCTTTAAAATTGTTTTAAACAACTTTCTCTTCAAAATTTCTTCATTACAATAAAAAGAAAAAAATTACCGGCAGCACCCGGGATCGAACCCGGGTCGTTTTGACTCGAAGGCTTGACTCGAACAGCTGGACCAAAAACCCACTGCGCCATGCGGCAGGAAATTTTTCCTCTTACTTTTTTGAGTTTTAAGCTCTGATTTTTTGAGCGTGATATCCAGATGGGATTTTCGTTTTTTTAAAAAATCAGGCAACAACTTATTCCGACGAAAATCTCGTGTCGAGCAAATTTTTCAGTGAATTTTAGAGAATTCTTGAATAGAAACTTCTGAAATAAACAATTTTCTCAGAAAAAAAACCCTTTCAATTTACAGGAAGAAATGGAAGTATTGCGAACGAATTACAATCCGGGAAAAGTGACTGCCGTTTGGCCACCACCACAAGACGAATTCCAGAGAGAAACGTCGGTTTAAATGACGATTTCTTAGAAATTCCGAATTTTTCTCAATTTTTTTAAAAGCTTCTATACTGACATCCAGATTCGGCAAAAAAAAGAAAATTTTTGAACATTTCTCAATTTTTAGCGGCGCAATCACTCGAGTGAAAACCGGCGACGACTTGGCGTGGATTCAACAGGTGGGAAAAAGCTGATTCTCGAATGCACAATACTTTCTGTGATATCCAGATCGCGGGATAATTAAACCGAAAAAATTGGAACAACTCAAATTTCTAGGAACAACACGAGGTACTCCGATTTGCTCCTCGCACCACGCGAATCAACCGCGCCTGGCCACCGCCCGAGGACGAGCTCACCAAAGCGCATGCTGGTAAGCAAAAAAAAAATGAGAAAAGATTTCTGATTGAGTTTAAAAGGAAAATAAGTGGTTGAGTTTAAGGTTGAATTCAAGATTTTCAAGAATTGAGCTTGGGTAATTCAACCGGGCTAAATAAATGTCTTTAAGATTAGTCTATGAGCTCCAAACTTTAACATTATGAGTTATGGAGGTCACTGCATCTTTTTAGTGTTTAAAATCGTTGGAATTCATTTTGATTTTGATTTTGTCAAAATTGCGTAACTAAACCGAGCAAGATCATTACTCCAGGGTTCACCATAGAGCTCCAAACTTTAGCATTATCAATTATGGAGGTCACTGCATCTTTTTAGTGTTTAAAATCCTTAAAATTCATTAATTGAAGATTTTCTCATAATAGCGTAACTAAACCAAGCAAGATCACTACTCCAGGGTTAGTCTATGAGCTCCAAACTTTAGCATTATCCATTATGGAGATCACTGCATCTTTTGCGCGTTCAATATCCTTGAAATTCATCTAATTAAGAAATCTGTCAAAATTGCGTAACTAAACCGAGCAAGATCATTGCTCCAGGATTAGTCATAGAGCTCCAAACTTTAGCATCATCCATTATGGAAGTCACATCACCTTTTGCGCGTTCAATATCCTTGAAATTCATCTAATTAAGAAATCTGTCAAAATTGCGTAACTAAACCACCTGGTGTTGTAGCTCAACAATTTACTCAATGAATCTAAAAATGATCGGACTATAAACTATGGAGGTCACAGCATAATTCAAGAACTTTAGAGCTGTGAATAAAAAGAAAAACCTTCTCAGCATGTAGTTGATCCACCTCTCCACCCCAGCATGTCCACCTCTATCGATTTCCATTCAGATCGCACCCAACTCGGTCCGGTCGTCTGGCCTCCACCAGAGACCGAGGATCGCGAAAGGGAAGCCGTCGAGTCGATTCACAAAACCCTGCCCGTCAGCAAGACGCACGTCCAAAACGTCTCATGGCCGCCCCCAGCGCCACAGTACACTCGTTGGTTTTGTCTTTTTCTCAATTCCTAATGCGATGGTACAGTGAAGTGCGTTCCAGCTTTTGAGATTCCGTGAAAAAACTCTCTAGTCACCGCTGAAAATTCCCAGTTTTTCCTCTGAACTCATTTCGGTTCATTTACCCAATATTTTACTTTTCGAAAATTGATCAAATTCATTGAACAATTTTCTTTTGTGCATTCCAGAACCCACCAAAATACAAATGATTTTTCGTGAAAGTTTGAAAAATCCTAGTTTAAAGCTCTCGAAAGAAATCAAAGCGAAAAATTGAAAAAGCAAACTTTGCAGTACTTTTTTCGGCATCATTTTTGCTCACTCTAACGCTCGATTTACCCGATTAACCCAGAATTTGAAGGATTTTTGGTGAAACTTTGATGAATCCAAAGATTTCAGTGGTGCCCATCCGATCGCCGATCGTCGAAACCCAACAAGAGCCAACGACCGCTCAACAAGAGGTGCGAAATTTTGAAAACTATCAAATTTTTTAAATCCAATCAATATTGTGACAGCCATAGCTCTCAAATTTGACAAAAAAAACTTTGCCGGTCGATTTCAGGCCTAGAAAACCGCCCAGCTACGTCACCAAAGCGTTGTCTCCAGAAATTTTGAAAACTATCAAATTTTTTAAATCCAATCAATATTGTGACAGCCATATCCCACAAATTTGGACAAAAAAACTTTGTGGGTCGATTTCAGCTCTAGAAAACCGCCCAGCTACGTCACCCAAGAGCTAACTTCAAAAATTTTGAAAACCATCAAATTTTAAAATTCTAATCAATATTGTGACAGCCATAGCCCTCAAATTTGACGAAAAAACTTTCCCGGTCGATTTCAGCCCTAGAAAACCGCCCAGCTACGCCACCAAAGAGTTGACTTCAAAAATCATGAAAACTTGCCAAAGTTTTTGCTACCATTAACTAGTGTGCTATCCAGCTTGCCCAAAAATTCATAAAAGTCCGCTTTCAGATGGCGCAAACCGTTGTAACAACGACGAGCGTGGTTCGACAGCCGATGGCCGCCAAGTAAACGTCACGGAGTGTCGTTTGCCGTTTCTTTTTCGTTTTTCCCCGATCCTGGCAGGCACGCTGTCGATTGGTCGTTGAATTTTTTCGTAAAATGACAATTTTCTGTATATTAGCTACTCGAAAAACTCCGCAAAGTGCCTATGAACGAATTTTTTTTTGTCTGAGAATTTGCATTTCTTTTGTCTTAAGCTTGTTCTGTGTTGTCCAGATCGCTCATTTATCAAAAAAAATAATCAAAAAACGATTGAAATTTTGATTTTTTTTGGAGTGTCGCTTGAAATGTCTTTAAAACGATGCGTGTATTTTTTTTAGTAAAAAAAGAATAAATTAGTTTGTATGGAAATTGAAGAATAAATGCAAATTCAGCTCATTCGACTTCGGCCATTTGGAAACAATCGAGTGAAAAAAAGAGAAAAATCTTGATTGTTATGTTTTTTTCAAGAAAATCTTTTAATAAACAACAATTTCAAATTCTAATTCCAATTCCAAACTCGAAACTTTGTCAGGAATCATCCTGGAGTGCACAACATTTAATAATAGATTCAAATGATGAGTAAACCAAGCTTTGCAATGTTGCTAAAGAGATTCGAGTTGCTTGCTGCCTATTTCTAACCGATTACTCCAACTTGTTGAATCAAAAATTTCTACAAAGTCGATCCTGGAGCGCACAGCATATACTGGAACATTAAAATTCTCATTCGTTGCATTTCCGTTAAGGATCCAGATACATCGGCTTGTGCCTGATCTTGACTGCCTGGCTTGACCCTGGACTGCCTGGGCTGATCCTGGGCTGCCTGGCTTGACCCTGGGCTGTCTGGCTTGACCCTGGGTCACTTGGCTTGTCCCTGGGCTGCCCGACTTGACCCTAGGCTGTCTAGGCTGATCCTGGGCTCCTAGGCCGATTCTGGGCTGCCTAGGCTAATCCTGGGCTCCCTAGGCTGATCCTGGGCTGACCCTGGACTGGTCCTAGGCTGCCTGGGCTGATCCTGGGCTGTCTGGCTTGACGCTAGGCTGTCTAGGCTGACCCTGGGCTGCCTAGGCTGACCCTGAACCCATTCTTCCGTGTAATTTTTAGACTATTTCGTTCTAAACTAAGTCTTAACCCCGAATTCGATAAAAATATTTATTCTCTTTAACAATATTTAACCAAAAGAGCAATTTAATTGAAATAGTCTCGACTATTTGCAATGTCTTTTGCCTATTTTACTAGCAATTGACGGGAAATTTTTGATTTCGATTTAAAATAGTCTTGAAGTCATTTAGAAGCCATTTTTGAAGCCATTTTAGAAGCCAAATTCCAGACTTTCTTTAAGAAAGCAGCATTTTTCCCGTTTTCCCTTGCTTCAACAATCTTTTCCTTATTTGGGTTGGTTAAATCCGAACTTTCTAGCATTTCAAAAAAAGGAAAAATAAATGCAAATTAACAAAAGAGAAAATGAGAATATGAAAGAAATTGTAAAATTGAATATGAATACTTTTTGGCGTGGCTGTTTTTCGACTTGTTGCTTGTTCATTGATTCCTCAAAAGCGATTTGATTCAAAGTCCTTAAATCGAACCTTTAATGAGTTCAATTCACAATTCCCAGCCATAGAGAAAGCTTTTCGTGCATAGAAAGAACACACGTGAATGTAGATGGATGAAGGGAAGTGTTGGAGGAGTGAGGAAGGAGAGTGTTGGAGGAGTGAGGAAGGAAAGTGTTGGAGGGATGATGAAGGAGAGTGTTGGAGGGATGATGAAGGGAATTGTTGGAGGAGTGAGGAAGGAAAGTGTTGGAGGGATGATGAAGGAGAGTGTCGGAGGAGTGATGAAGAAAAAGTGATTGTGTTATAGATGAAATGTTTGTCCCTTTCCACAGCCACTCATCAGCTTTTGACTAAAAGAAAGAAAGAAAAGAGCTAAAAAGTCAAAGAAATCCCTTTCCCAGACTCTCAAAACAGTCGAAAACATAAAAAAATGCTTTTCTCGTCCGTTTCCGCCTTTCCGCGCCTGTTGCCAATGAGAGATTGAGCAAAAATGCGAAAATCGCAGATCCGACAATCGGAAAAAGGGACAGTGCTGGCCAGGATACTCAAAGATGTGCTTTGATGGGCATGTTGACGCTGAAAAATCAAGCGAAAGCTGTTGTTAGCTGTTCTTGACTTTTTCCTGACTTGATTATTCATTTTTCTACCTTTTTCAAACAATTTAGATCAATTTCCAAGCAAATTCAAGTCCAAAAAAAACTATAAAGAAATCGGTTGAACAAATTATTCTAAAAATTAGGCTTATATTCTTTTTGCTAGTTCTTAACTTTTTGCGCTCTATCTTTTATTGATTCACATAGATTTTTGTGAAAGTCAATCGATGAATTTGGGCTTTTTTTCTTTTCTAAATACAGTCATGTTCAAAAATCTTTTCAAATTCGTTTTTCTTTGATAAAATTCATGGTTATCTTTAAGCTATTAATAGCTTTATTTACATAAATATATGTACAATTTATTTACACAAACTTTATCTCTATACAACACTTATTCATTAACCCAAAAATCTAATTATCAAAAAATTCCTGAAAATCGTGGTGCAAAAGTCTTTTAACATAAAACGAAATTAAGCTATAATCAATATTTTGTCGGCTCTCCTTTTGCCACAAACTTCTTTAATACGAATAGGTTCGAGCAAATTGAAGGCGTTGCCTCCTGTGTTTGGCTGTCATCATAGGCTTGAAAGCAGGTCTTCTAGTATACAATGCTGCTTGAAGCAAGCGTCGATGCAAGGTGTAAGCGGGAAATATTCTTGTTTGAAGTTTGCTTGAAAAGCATGGCTCCATGAACGGCTGTTCAACGTCAAATTCTGATCCTTCTTGAAAGCTCCCGTAAGGAATCGGTCTTCATTCTTTGTTGTAAACCTCGGTCGTCCCTTTTTCCTTTTTCTTGCTTGAGAAAAATCGCCATACAACGTTATCGCTATCGCTATACAACACTTATTCATTGAGCCAAAAATCTAATTATCAAAAAATTCCTGAAAATCGTCGTGCAAAAGTCTTTTAACATAAAACGAAATTAAGCTATAATCAATATTTTGTCGGCTCTCCTTTTGCCACAAACTTCTTTAATATGAATAGGCATCGAATTAATTCACCAAGAATTCCAGATCCAATCGTCCTCCAAAAATTTCTGATATAAAACCATAGCTCCAATTTACAATTGAATCGCTTTCCTCACAATTTTGATTTCCAAATAAGCCTATATTCTCAGTAACATTTGAATCCGGTGAGAATGGTGGAGCTTTGATTAAAGAAACGCGATTGATTTCAAACCATCCCGGTAAATGTACTTTTTCTCCATTCGAAAGAGTCACAACGCGGTCCATCAAAAGTTTGCTTTTGTGTACTGGCGAATTATTTTGATAAAGAGACCATTCTGGATTCATCGAAGCAGTCGCAAATGGAAGTAGACATCTGTCCAATATCTCAATATATTGGCGGGAATTCATTGTTGACATTACGAGGACAAGTGGACCCGTTGAAATTATCAACTTTTGTTTGCAAAAATTTTTATTATTTTTTTTTTTGCTTCGTATTTACTGGTATTATTTTATTTTTTTAAATGCCAGAAGGGTACTTGTCAACTCCGGATAAAGAAAGGATCGTCGAGGGAAGGAAGGAAGGAATGCCAAGGCAAGACGTTGCTCGCCTCTTAGGATGTACGCCCAAAACAGTTTCTCTTGTTATGGCAAAAATGAATGCATCTGGAAATGTGGACAGATGTAGGAAAAAGGGATGGCCGAGGTTTACAACAAAGAATGAAGACCGATTCCTTACGGGAGCTTTCAAGAAGGATCCGAATTTGACGTTGAACAGCCGTTCATGGAGCCATTCTTTTCGAGCAAACTTCAACCAAGAATATTTCCCGTTTGCACCTTGCATCGACGCTTTTTTCAAGCAGCATTGTATACTAAAAGACCTGCTTTGAAGTCTATGATGACAGCCAAACACAGGAGGCAACGCCTTCAATTTGCTCGAACCTATTCGTATTAAAGAAGTTTTTTGGCAAAAAGAGGGCCGACAAAATATTGATTATAGCTTAATTTCGTTTTGTGTTAAAAGACTTTTGCACGACGATTTTCAGGAATGCTTTGATAAATAGATTTTTGGCTCAATGAATAAGTGTTGTATAGAGATTTGTGTAAATAAATTGTACAGATATTTATGTAAATAAAACGATTAATATCTTAAAGATAGCCATGAATTTTATCAAAGAAAATTGATGAAACTTTTTCGAAAAAAAATTTAATTCAAAAATTCAATGTGAAAAGATTTTTGCAAATGACTGTAGCTTTTTAAATGAATATTTTCAAAAGATTTATTGGTTAACTTTTATATTATATTCATACTTTATTCAGGACATGAAATAAAGCGTAATCAGTGAGACCTTTAAAACAAGAAAAATTTCTTTCCGAAAAACTAACATCTATCATTAGAAGTAAATAACCCAAACTCAAACGCAAACTAATCGAAGCTTACAATAATTTCACAAATCTAGACTAACAAGTCTTGTGCTTGGTAATCAAATCCATTTGCCGACACCTTTCAGGTAGCCGAATTTCTGTGGACCCACTTGGAAAAGACGCATTTCGTCGAGATTCCCTTTGTGCTCGTTTACGCGATTCTCATCATTTATATAGGTATGTTATTTTAATATATTGATATTCATACTTTATTCAGGACATGAAATAAAGCGTAATCAGTCAGACAATACACAAATCTACACATAAATACATAGAGAAAGATGAGATATTTTACTCGGCGATGTGGAGGCGGGAAGAAAAGAAGATAGATAGAAGATAGGCTTCTTGCTTTAATAACCTCAAGCCATGAATGGGCCAACCCAGTGGAAGAGTGAACTCCGCTAGAGAAGGGATCTCTAGTCAGCTCTAGAGAAGAGACCTCTAGTCTGGGCGCACTTTAGAAAAAAAATTTTTAGAAAAAAAATTCAATTCAAAAATTCAATGTGAAAAGA